ACCCGAAACGGTCCTGCCCAGTCCGTTACTAGTTTAGGGTGCTCAGACTGCCCTTTTTCAGCTGGCAGTTTCATATAAACGCGGTCTCCTACTGCGAATTTTACTGATTTTGCTGTTTCCAGCCTCCGATCGTAATACTTTTCCATATTTTCGCAGTATTCACGTGCATTTTCTATAATGCATCCGCGGGCGAGTTTTTAACCCCGACAAGAGCTCCGTTTTGTAAGTATCGTAGTCCACGATGTACGGAGATAGATGTTCTGACGGAATTACCGCAGAAGGATACTTAAGGTCACTTCCGTATAGTAGAAAATGTGGGCTTTCCCCAGTTGCTCTATGCGGTGACGCGTTGTACAATAGCTCATAATTCGTCAAAAAAGTCGCCGCACTCTAGCGGAGTGCGCGACAGTGCGCTGCAGTGTGGTGGAGTGCGCTGCAGTGCGGCGGAGTGCGCTAGAGTGCGCCGGAGAGCAGCGGAGTGCGCCGCAATTCACGAGAGTGCGCCACATGTGCGCTGCAGTGCGGCGGAGTGCGCTGGAGTGTGGCGGAGAGCATCCGCGTCGCATCACCATATCTCGCTTCAGAATAGACATATTCCGAATCCAAGGACACCATTCGATTCAGCTCAGTGAGACGCATCATCTTGTATATAGAAGTGCCACAATTGTCGGGATACGGTGAGTATACGGTGGACAGTAGGTCTTCGCTGATTTGCAGATTTTTGTTTGGTTGTATTGTCCAGTGTGCTGATAACAATATTGCCATTGATTTGCTGCTTATGGCACATTGCAGAGATATTGTAGAAGTATGGTAGAGAGTTACTCTGATGGGTTTGTTCTACCATCAGTTCGAGGTATAGCACCCAACGAATGTGCAAAGCTTCCGTGAACGTCGCGGAAATCCGGAAATCACGCAAGCTACGCAGCACTATAACTTCCTTCGGATATTTTGAATCCGGAAGAAGCGTAGTGTTCAGCTCATCAAGACAAATCTTTTGATATACATCTTAATCATACCATCTTATAATCTTCGATATTCCGTTTCCAGTTTTCTCAAATTCTTTTGTGGAGGTCCTTTCGCACGGATGCGACGCAGCGCTTACTCAACATAAAAGATTCCAATAAATACTATTCGATAGTTGTGTTTTGTAGGTTATCGTGCGCTAAGTATTAGACGCAGACTTCTTTTCAAAAAAGATAGAAGCGTTAGTGAATTCTGGGAAAATCACGCGTTTCTAAATTCTACTCACCGTAACTTCCTTCGGAATGAATATATTACGAATCAAAAAGAAGCTTTGTGCTCAGCTCATCAAGGCAAATCTTTCGATATGCAGCACGTCCTTGATAATACGATTTCAGTATTCTTGAATTTTTCTGCCGACTCTTCGCAAACGTGTAAAGCAGCGCGCATTACTCCTAGTAGAATCCAGCAAGAACCGTTCGATAGTACTGCTTCCGCAGATCATGGAGCACCAAAAAGTAATCGTAGGCCCTTTCGAAAGGAGATAGAGGGGCCAGTAAATTGTGGAAAAATCTTGTCGTCCCAAATTCTACTCGCTATAGCCCTAGAATACGGAGCTATCTTGCTAGGCAGATGTGAGTTTCGAAACCAGCAGGTTGGATAACCTTTATGGGCAAGTTTTCCGATATGTTTGGGTTATTTCATTTTTTCTCGTTTTACGCACTAAAGCTCGCCGGTGGATTTTGGTCAAAATGTTGATAATCTTGAATTGTAGAAAACTTCGCCTGTAGAGGTTTTCGGACATGCTGTTACAAAAATCGTGGTCTTTGAGGAATACAGGGTCATTTTGCAGAGACACGAAAGTTCGTAACTTTGCCGCACTTCTTAAGCATCAGTCAGAAAACTTGCCTGCTGCATTTATGATACAAAGTAACTGGGAATTACGCCATCGAATGGTGTATGCCTCAGGCTTCAGTCTACAAAAATCGCCGAGTTACGAGCCTACGGAAATACGTCCTTATGAATTTTGCCCAGTATGTAAAGATCGCATACTTCGTTGAAATTCTGGCGTGAGTGACTGTATGACATATCGATCAAATCTGTTCAAATCGCTTAATGGATCTTCCTGTGTTGGGATAGTTAGATAGATCTGAGCTAAAGACAAAAATGCTTTAAGATTCATTTGAGCACCTGAAGCACACGCAATCACATATTCAATACAGTGGGATCCTTGGGCGAACTGAACATAATATTAGGTTGGCACATAATTTTTGCAACTTTTCCCGTAACTTTTCTCTTATTTTATGTAGCAATCTCATTTTATGGCATTGTGTAGACCGTGATGTGCGCTGCAAATCTGCGCAAACCGTTTGATTTTTTATAAAGTAGTACAAAAAATCTAAACATTTTTTGAAAACTGCTGAAAATCGAGGTTTCACGGTTTTTTGGCAAACATAAAGCCCTACGAAAACTGAATTAAACATAACAAAAAGCAAATATAGGCAGCATGTAGCTAGAAGTGGACACATTGGAATCAGTAAAAAAGAACTGAAATTGGAGCACAAATTAAGATGGGGCGCCTTTGAGAAGTTGAACAAGTCAAATGCGTCAAGTTTTGAAGGCAATTTGTCAATAACTAAACTGCGAAAAGTCAGAATTCACTATAACTTTGCACTGTAGGGTGATCCTATGCGGTGAACACGAATATCATATTCATTTGTCGCTACAATGGAATTCATTTTTTGGTCTCACGAACGAGGCCTTTTCATGCGAAACGGATCTCATTTTTGTGATCAGCATGTCGAATAAGCCCTATAGGTCAATTTTCAGCAAAATCTGATGCATTCTAAAAATTTACCCATAGTACCGTAAACCTACCGCAATCCTTACATACGGTAGGCAAAAATGTGTGCATTAGAACCTTACATCACAGTCATTATATTGCCAAAAAATGAATGCGCTACGTTCAAAGAGACAAAAGTTACATAAAAAGTTGCATTACTTATGTGCCAACCTAATATTTGCAATCAGAATGTCACACAGATACTCAGGTGGAATTTCGGCGAAGTATGCGTTTTATGTATACAATGGGCAAAATTTATAAGGACGTGTTTCCGTAGGCCCTTAACTCGGCGATTTTTATGGACTGGAGCCCGAATACACCATTCGATGGCACAGTTCCTAGTAACTTTGATCTATAGAAGGAAGCAGGCAAGTTTTCTGAGTGATACGCGAAGTGCAGGCAAAGTTACAAACTTTCGTAACTCAGTTACAGTTACCTCGCCATATCTCTGCAGAAAGACCCTGTACTCGACAGAGACCACGATTTTCGTGGTTTCCGAAAACCTCTATAAGCGAAGTTTCCTTACAATCCAAGATTATCAACATTTTGATCAAAATCCATGACGAGCCCCGGAGTGTCAAACGAGGAAAAATAAAATAAACCGAACATCTCGGAAAACTTGCTCATATGGGACTGTCGCGGACTTCCGCGGAATTCCCAGAATTCCGCGACATGAAAATTTTGCCATTCTGTGAGTGATATTGTAGGAGTTTAGCCTTTTACATGTCTTACTTTTTGAGTAATATCATAATTTGCTGCTATTTTGGGTTTGGCGTACTTAATCTATGATTCTGAATAACTTAGTCTTGTATGCAATAAAAATTTACACTTATACTTATCTATGGTATAGCATACTAGCGTAGAAACAGCTGAGCATTGCTTTGACAAAAAACTGAAAATTACTTTTTCGATTTATGACCGTTGAGAGATTATATACTAAACAGCTTTGGCGTTCGTAGTATTTTCTCCGGATTGTGATAAGATTTTGGATTTTTCGGGCTTGTAGAACTTTTCAGATTTTGGCCTCCAAATCGCATATAGAACAAACTTGGTTCAAGTTATAAATAACCTAGTAGAGCTTGCTGTCCTCTACTGAAGAGTGTCCCTTTGACGTTTCCGGTATTCGGTTTATTCCAAGATAAGGACAAAAACGACAAAAAAGAAAAACATCCTTTAGGTGAAACTTACAAAAAATGGCCAGAAAGTGGAAATGGCCAATCCAAAAAGAACATACAATCAGATGCAGCATCAAACACTGGCTATAAATCTTTCTTATCTGCCCAACGGTTTCGTGAAAGGCTGAAGCCATTATAAGCCCTAATATAGCCAATGAATGCTGTCTAAAAAGTGCAAGTTGGCCGTACAGAGCAATTTTTTCAAAGGCAGCGTTCGGGAAAAAAGTCGATTCTAGGATTTTGTGTTTACCCGGGAACCCATTCGCTATGCTGAATCCGAAAGTCCACATTGAGAGCGTGAAAAAGAGATTTTGAGATTTTGTGCTTACCCGGCGGCCTTCTCCACTGTGAACTTACTCTCCCAGCTTCCGGAGCGATCTTCTCGATTCCGCTAGCCGCCCTGGCATCGCCATCGGCGCGAACGCCTGACTTGAAATTAGAACTGGCAATGAGAACATCGCTTTGGGAGCTGGGGCGCAAATTTACGTTTTATGCTACAGGTAATGTTATGCAGCTTGTTTGGATTGATACTTCAATTTCTAATTTCCATGTTGGTAAATCTCTATATATAAAGCAGGAAATCTGTACGTCTGTGCACATTCCCAATAGTCATGAAGGATAAGCGGTGAAGCTCTTTTTGATCTGCTGGTCATCAAGACAAGGTAAAGACGGAAGCGAATTCAAGACAAGTTTGAATTAAAAAAAGGACAAGTTGCGCCACATGAGAGGTCGAGCACAATGGGCCGGCTGTAAACCGGGGTGGGAAGGGATGCCAGCTCGTTTCTTGTAGACGTTTCTGAACAGCCTCCATTAATTTTCTTGGCATTTGAGGTATGTACTTTAGCCAATACTTGCCTTCAGTTCACTTGCCTAACTTGTAGGAAACGAAGAAAATTAAAATTTCAGAAAATTATTGATATATCATTTTACAGAAGTTCTGTTTAGCATGTATTCTTCCCACAGAGGATAAAGAAGATATTCTTTCAACCATAGAACATTATAGAGGGAACCTAGAACATGGAATGCAACAAAACGGTCCTAATGGGGACACATTACCAGCTGCTTTAGAAATGCAAACCCTGGTGGGTCCAACTCAACACTTTTTTGAGTTTCATTTATGATATTGCGGCACAAAACAAGTTTGTATGGTTCTTTCGATCGTTTTGAGCAGTCGCCATGTCAGATAAAAAGTGATTGTCGCCCTTTTGTTGATGACATACTACGAAGATTCACTGTAACGAAACAAATTCAGAATTGGAGTTGCGAACTGGAAAAGCAAGCTAGAATTGCTTTAAATGATGAGTGCCCAAAAGGTGATCATGTCGCAGATTTCGCCAATGCAGTAAAAGACAAAGCAGGAATCTTTCAAACGTAGGTATCTGCTTTGGAGTGTTTTACCCGCTTGTTGGACACTATACGCTATTGCTGAAGAAAAAAAAAAGAAAAAAGATGGAAATTTCTGTTTTTTGCTCCAAGCTCTAATGGCCGTGCAAAAAATTAGCCATGACCGTCGCATTTCTCCACCTTACAATGAAGTGCAGCAAGTATAATCATATCAGCGTCACTGTTGGCCTTCTACAGTTGTTACCAGTTGTTACTGTTCCTGCTTGGTAGTAACCACATTCAAAAGGAAAGCACATTCGCTACTTTGGCGAAATCGCACATTCGAAAAAAGGAGTATGCAAAGTGCTCCTTGTCTTATGCTGCATTCAGTAACAGAGGGAACAACGGAAGCAAAGCGGTTGTTGATACATTGACTGCCAGCTGTTTATCGAGATGAGGCAAACATCGCCCTAGGGAACGGTTTAGAAGCATACCTTTTTTTCTGCTGCTGGAGCTTACTGCAGAGAAATGTTGACTATCCTTTGATTGAATGGCATTGGCGGCTGGATGGACCGCTTACACCCTTAGATTGCTCTCTCTCTCGCAAGCGTGGTCTCTGTTCATTTTTTAGCCTCAATTAGGCCTCGAAGGTACCCCCCCCCCAGTTGCCATTCCCGTTGAATTAAATCTTATATATAAAGCTGAATGTCTGTTTGTGTGTGTGTGTCTGTGTGTCTGTACGTATGTTCCGAATAGAAAATTCCATTTCTGAACCGATCCGGACCAAACTTGGCACACATACACTTCGGGGCGGGGCGGGTGTCATAGGCTACTTTTCGTTATCGATCGATATCGATTTTATCGTTTATCGATATTTTGGCAGAGTTCACCTACGGGGCTGGGATTTGGCACAGGGGGTAAGCGAGCATGACGATTCCGAATACAATATTAGTTTCCAGAATTATTGATTACTTTTATCGATTTTATCGATTTTTTGCAAAGTTTGAGCTACAGGGCTGGGAGTTGGCACAGGGGGGGGGGGGTAAGTGAGCATGGCGATTCCGAACACGATATTAGTTTCCAGAATTATTGATTACTTTTATCGATTTTATCGATTTTTTGCAAAGTTAGAGGTACAAGGCTGGGAGTTGGCACGGGGGGGGGGGGGTAAGTGCTGATTTCGAAAACAACACAAGGAACGGGAACTGAAGTGTAGAATTGGGCACTGGGAAAGGCTGTACAGAGATAGGGATGGGACCTTTATTACAGTGTTTTCACAGGGCCGAGCGGAGCCGGGTAAGCAAGCTAGTGGTATATAAGAAGAGCTCAGCTTCAGTCGTAGGTACGTAACTTACCACAAGTCGAGTTGTTGAGTATGTGGCAAATGTATTGTGCTAGTTTACTGCGCTCGTGACGTTCATACCATTGTCGCTCGTGGATTTCTAATTCTTTACTTTTTAAGAGAATAATGCGATCGATTTTCACTAACTTATCTTTCATAACGGCGTATATTCAGCGAAATACACAAACACAGGAGCGACAAGACAACCTTGGATGATTTTCGTTTCGTTTTCTCTGCATTCATCTAATAAAATTGAGACATTACTGCAATACCATACATTTGGCATCTCAAGGTGACTTTTACAAACTTCTGAAAATATTTTTAGACATCGTATTTTAAATTTGACTGAGCGAGTCTTCATGGAACATTCACCGTCAAGCAATCCGGGTATCATTCGATGCCGCTTTTTCCCTCTTTTTAAAACTTTTTACTTTCCGATTAGTTTTCAGGGATAACATTATCGTAAATCTTAATAAATTAGGTGGGATCGAAAGTTCATGCCGTTTTTTAAACTCCTTAAATCATTCAGAGCAAAGATAGACAAACACTCTAAAAGGAAAGGACTCCCTGTCGAAGTGGGGTTTCCATACCTGGTGCATATCATTTAATTGTGAGGCACTAATACCAAATTTGTGTTCTCTAGCTGCTCAATGATGTTTTGGGAGAACTCTCAGGATGACCACGGCACACCATAAGTTTGCGGCGCCCGTAACCAACCAACCATCGTATGATGTTTGCGGGCGAAAAAAATATGATATTCGTGCTCTGCTTCTCGGACATCCACATGAAACGCATTTGAGCGAAATTCACGACTTTGAGGTTGGCCCGGACAGTGACATAAATAGCTATGAGGGGGGGGGTCTCCTTGCCTAAGAAGCGTCTGCGAGTTCATGCCAAACAACTTGCAAATGCAAAAATGTTGATGTAACACAGGGTTCAAATTCCTGACCACGTGCTCACCGCTGCTATCCTCTCTGCTGTCCATCCACACCTGTGCATTGCTTGGAGCTGCAAACTTATAGTGGGATGTGACCATCTGGGGAAACCATTGTTCGTAACTTTTCCGAGAAGATCATTGAGCAGCTAAAAAACACAAATTTGCTGTTAATGCCGCATAACCAACAGAACGATATGCATCACTCATGGAAACGCCACTTCTACGGAGGGTCTTTCTTGTAGAAAATGCTCTATGCAGAACTTCTTCCTATTTCCAGCAGTAATAGTTGTTCGGATTCCTTTGATGTTCGCTTGAAAATTCGTCAGAGTCTTCAACCCATGGTTTTTACCTACCTCAACTTTTGCAATTTTTTATATTTTCGTTCTGGAGTTTTAAAACTGCTTTAATAACAGTTAGATAGAGTAAACAAGATGCAATAATGCCTTTTCATTGATAGCTGGCCTTTTAAATTTTCCAAAATTATCATTTTTATGCTACCAAATATGATACTTGTTTATCCCAAACCTCGTAGAACAGCAAACAGCTAGGTGTTATTCTGCATTTTATTCTCCTGTTTTTGAAAGATATATTCTTTTTCTGATTCGTAAACACCTCGAGGGAAAAATCGCCATAATTCTAGATTTTCAATGCGTCCCATGCTGCACCCGAAAATTCCAAAAATCAATAAGAAACTCATTTGTTTGTTAAAATTGATGATTAGTCATAATCGATTTTTTGGAGTTCCATTTTATGAAGAGTTCATAGTGTTTGAAGCTTTTGCATATTTTACGACTTCGAAAATGTTAAGAATTGTGGAGAACTTGTTTTTGAAGATACTGTATCGATGCTAAAAAATTGGATTTTGTAGCATTTTGTTTACTTTATCCAAAAGTTGTCAAAGCTTTTCCAAAAATCCAAAACGAGTTCAACATATAACCAGATTTAGGAGAGGTAAAATGCATGGGTTGGAGATTGTGGCGATTTTTCGAAAGGACAATGAAAATATCCGAACAAAAGCATTACTGCTGAGAAGAGAAAGAAACTTCGCATAGAACAATGCTCAGAGTAATTGCCGTTATTTTGCATGATTTGAGGATAAAAAACGGCACGAACATTCAGATCCATCTAACATATTGTTTTGATTTTGTGGAAAACGCAAACATGAAAATCCGCAAATTCCAGAAAACCAAATCTGCTCTCGATTAAAACGCACGAATTTTGCTCAAATAGACAGAAGAGGTCATAAAACCCATATTTAGGCTTGTCTCGGTTTTCGCTGTGACGTTTTTAGGTTTTTTTTTTGAGCATGCTCAAGAACTACAAAACTGGAGTGACTCCTTTTATTTGCTTCTATGTGTCGAACTTTCACGTTTTGAATTCTTGGCAAGGGTGATTCCTGACCAAAAAACTTGAACCTGAAACCTACTGATGCGGCCACCGACGACAACTAATAAGGGAAGGATACTCGATGCAACGACGCGTAAGCAATGTCTATCGCGTACACCTTCCCCAAACAATAACTTCTAATGCGCATTCCTTATTTGCTAAGAAATTCTGATAGAGTTATAAGGGATCTTGATGCCACAGCACATTCGAATACCAGATTTGCCGATTGATAACGGAAGTGGTCGGCGCGTGAATGGATAATGGCTTGAGATGCGGAGCTGGACGTCATGGGTTCAATTCCTCTGGGATGCTATCTTCTTCAGATAGTTCAGCGAAAGGACCAAGAACCTGTCGACATCAAAAAAATTGTTTTTTACAATGTGAAATTTCAGCACTGAATCGCCTTCTTACCGAAAAACACTCGCTTTTAACTACTTCATAAAATGCCTTGCGCAAAAACACTGAAAAAATTTCAAACTTGCTATCAAGTAGAGAACATTGATCGTAGATGGCATGATATGTGTTATAAGAATGAATCGTATTCCTCATATATCTCAAAATTTTCCGCCGCTAGATTCTTCAATTTTCCCAAGTACTCTTGGTACGTTGCCCGTTTTGATAAACACACCGGCCTCTTCGAAACTCCACCGCAATTTTGCTTTGTTCAAGATTCATTGAGAACATATAGTGTAGACGGCTGCAAAGAAATCCCTCTTTATCCGTTGCGCGCACTCTGAACTTTTGTTTCGAACATTTGCTTTAGTATCATATGCGTCCTTGGAGATTTTTCAGTGTATAGCTGAGTAAAGCATTTTATAAAAAAAAGCGAACACATTTTTCTGGTAAGAAGGTAATTCAATGCCGATAGATGTATTATTAGGTTGGCTCGAAAGTTCTCGGACATTGCATTTAGACAAAGTTTTTGTTTCGATGTAAGCACTGATTGGAGCATGCTGCATACCTTTGGGATAGAGGAAAGCAATCTCTACAAAATTATTGTAAGCAGAAGTATCATCAATGTTTTCGGTGGAAATTCGGGCGAAAATTTTAAAGCATACGATTTTGACCTAACCCAGATCTCCAGCTTCTACAAACGTTTTGAAATCCCCACATGCTCCAATTTATAGTACAAACATACTTATATACTTACAAGCACAGTTTGTACGGAATTTGAGCTTAAACAACAAGAATAACGAGTTGATTGAAAAGTGGCAAACTCCGCCCCCATTGGTCCTAGGCTCCTCCCATTTGCTTAGATATCGGCTACGGGCGAGAGAGAGTACAACTGCAAATTTTCGAGGATGTAAATGCATTGGGTCTCGAGAAATGGCGAATTTAGTCTGAAAATGTCCGAGAACTTTCGAGCCAACCTAATACTACTGCTTCACACTTCACAAAATCAACATTTTTATGTGGACAGGTTTAAGACCTTGTCTGTTAAATTTACATTGTAAAGCGGATGGCATTTTCGGCGAATCGAACAAACGACGTCCAGCTTCGGCCCAAGCCCTTCCATTTCACCAGACCACTTCCGTTATTAGGCGGCAAGTCGGGTATTCGAATATGCCTGAGTCATCAAAAATCCCTTGTAAACCATTCAGAATGTTGTCTTAACAAATACGAAATGCGGATCAAGATCACGTCTAGGGACATTGTACGAGATATACATCGTTATCAATCGTCACTGCCATCGAGCATCCTTTCCTTGTAAGGGCCAGACTTCGCGGCATACGCGACGTACGACACGCACCGTCCCATATCTGAACAGTGAGCGTACGCTGCGTGTCGCGTACGCCGCCGCTTTCGTCATGCATCTAGCCTAATCCTAAGGATGTCAGAAGCTAAAGACAGGAAACAATAGCAAACAATAGCAACTTCCGTGTTGGGGCCCGCATGCCACACGAAGTCGGGCCATTTGAGGGACCCAAAGTCGACATCGGCTTTCAAACTGAGGTATGTACCAATCTGAAGAGCAAGCGCTGATTCCAAAACTGTGTTTTTTGCCAAGCGCCTTTAGACTCTGAATTATGAGTGTTTTTGGAGCGAAAAATGATAACGAAGTCTAGGAAAATCAATGATTATGGTTTTTCAGCGCTCAAATAAGGAAGTGTTCATTACGAGAGGTTTAGACCCAAGGTTTTTCATACATGAAGTGCTCTGATATTCAACGGGCCACTTGCGCAATCTTGAACGATTTTGTTCTATTATAGTTTCGCCTTCAAGTTTTTGAGCCAAAAAAGTCCATTACTCAGGATATAAAGGCGCTTCGCAATCAACAAATATAGTTTTAGGATCAGCGCTTGATGCTCTGCAAGCTGATATGTATATCATTTGGAAAGCCGTTTTCGACTTCGAGTCCTCCCCTTATAAGTATCTATAAGTATCTAGCACTGAGTAAGTAAGCCACCAACATGCTGCCTACAACTCTATGTTGATGTATTCGATTTACATTGTGCACGGCTTCATTTGGCTTAAAAACCGTAAAACCTCGATTATCAACAGTTTCGAATAATGCTCAGATTATTATTTATTTTATTATCAAAAATCAAAAGTCGCGCAGTCTTGTGATTACACTTTTCTATACAATGGCAAGATGAGAGGGCTATATCGAAAAAGAGAAAAGTCATGGAAGAAGTTGCAAAGCTTATGTTCTAACTTATTAATTTAAAAGATTATGGAAAGGAAGCTATGAAAGGAGAAGGAATTGTTCTGTTTTGTGAGTATAGTTATTTCTATTTCATCTACCCGTTATTTTGATTTCTTCTGAGAGTGGGCATAATTGAAAAGTTAAGCTTGGTTATGGCAAAAACCAATTTCCTAAATCCTCGTTAAATACAGTGCAACCTATTATTCAAGTTGTTTCGAGACTTCCCCCCGGATTACGGAATGCCCTATCCTTTTGGGGCCAAAAACAATATCCAGCCTGCAAAAGCGCCAGTTTAGTCAGGAAATTTGCCTTCAAACTCTCACCCAATACTTTTTCGAACGGAATGAGCGCCTTAGAGTAAGAACTCTTATGAGTTATAGCAATCGAATGCCTATTGCTTACTGAGGCCTCGCGTTTGATATCCATATAAATGTCAACTCCATAGTCGAAGATGTTACAATATGTGCCTATAAACCGGGTTGCTTGATGGAGGGCAGACATTTGACCAGTAAAGAAAATAGCCTGTTTAACACCGAACCCAGATAAGAAGATATATCGATATGATTGTTGCCTTCCGCATATCCTGCAAATGACACTGATAAATACAGTCGAGTAGATTTCACGGTAAATATAGTGCGCCTGCAGACGCGACAGCACTGGGCGTCAATAATTGCCTTGCGAGTTTCCAAGCTAATTTTTCTAGTGTTTTCTTTGCTTATACTTTGCTTTTTAGGTAATTTGTTGCTAATAAAGAAGAAAAGGGTAATTTAGAGGTAGTTTTTATTTTCTAGAAGTTCTATCATCGCATATTCACAGATATCTACGTGGAAGCAGTTTGCGTCAGTTTCTTTTCTATTTTTTGTCTTTGCTTTTCTTTTGTCACTTCAAACCTCTTTATTCTCTTTATTCTTGTGAGGCGTTTCTTTGAACGCTAGTTGGCTTGTCTTGCACCAACTTCGGCTTTCACCCATAAAAAATAGCATTCAATAAAGCACTTCATGTGACAAACGCACAAGTCAATCGTAAAAACCCATTAGCGTTCAAAGAAGTACTTCACAAGAAGAAAGAGACCTGAAGTGACAAATCGCATAAAACTAATGCGATTAACTTCGACGCAGATATCTGAGATTAAGCGATGACATAGCTACTCAAAAAATAGAAACTATCCTCTAACTTATCCTTTTCTCCTTTATCAGCAGCGGGTTACCCAAAAAGCTATGAATAAGCAAAGAGAACACTAGAAAACATTCGCTCGGAAACGCGCAAGGCAATTATTGACGCCCCAGCGTTGTCGCATCTGCAGGCGCACTATATTTACCGTGAAATCTACTCGACTGTAGCTATCCCGTTGGTGAAAAAAGAAGTTTGATGTTTTCTAGTTTCAAATTCACTGCTAGTTGAATTTATGGTAATTTTCAATATATTTCAAGGAAAAACGTGGACACCGACAACGAAGAAACAAACTCCATAACAGAAGTAATGGAATCGTTTTTAAACAACATAAACAATGAACCACTGACAGATATAAGCGCCGGGGTCAAGTATAGTGGAGAAGCGAACTTAAGAGAATATGCTGATGTAAGCCTTAGCAACTTGCTCACTTCGCTCGAACCAGAGGAAGCAGAACTCAAAAATTAATTTTTGTTTGCAGCTCGTAAGGGCGAATACGACTGAGATAGCCTGCGCGAAAACCATATGCAATAATTCAGGCTCTTCTGACAACGTGTATTCAGTGTACTGTATAACCAACGCAGCGTAAGTTTTTCCAGTTGAAACTCTGTCTAAAATATAGACCCGAAAACAAAAAATACGACGGCTAGACTAATTCGCGCATCTGTATAGCTATAGTTGTTATGAATAGAAGCCAGTCGCACAAATCGCGGCAAAGCTGCAATGTGGTGATGACGACAAGAGGGAGCAGAGGCCGAGAGCGCGTTGAGAAAGAATTTTGAGGACAAGAGTATATGTTAAAATTTGCAAGCTTGAGATAGTGACGAAAGGGGGATGCGAAATCGTACCATTTCATTGTAGAAAAGGTGATTTACAGGTATTCTGACTACGAATAAGTTAACTGTTGTAAAAGTATCCATTACTTTTATCGTTTTCATAAATTCTTCTTCAAATTTTGAACTGTGAGGTTGGGAGTTGGCAGAGTCGGGTAAGTGAGCATGCTGGTGACGAATTCACTATTGAATTATCGACTCTACGAATTCTTTCGATTTGGGAAAGCTTTAGCTTTGAAAAGGTAGAATATCGTTCAAAAAATAACCGGTGTTTTTGGGGGAGGTTTGAGAAACAGTTTAGACTAGCGCATAGGAGTTTTACACTCAAAGGTAGTTTTGAGAAGGAAACAGAGACTTTGGATTTCTAAGCGATTAAGCTGTTTAAATTCAATTAATCTCTAGGAAAAGTGATTTTGTGAGCAAAAGAAGTTTTGTGGAAGGGAAAAACCTGATTTTCGCTGGATAGAAAATAATTAGTGGAATTATTTATCTTCCTTTTGCAACTATTGAACAGTTCTACGAAATATTCACTTTTGAGAGCATCGGTGTAGAAATATAATTTTGCTTTTGAAGAGGCAATCGTGTGAGCAAGCTCGCAGGAAATAATCAGAACTTAATCCAGCCATTCCAAACAAACTGTATATCATCGGAATCATCTTAAAGCCCTGATCACATATATATGTTTTATCAGCCAAACGACTATCTGGGGGAGTTGTGAGCTTTCAAATATGAGAAGTTCTTCGAGTTTCGACGAATTTATTTCCTTGAAAGGCAGCCTGACGCTGCAAATTTACAATGGCTATAGTTATTTCAATTACAAGAAAGAAGCAAATTCACCAAGAACTTAAATAAGTGTTTTTGAAACCTATTTCGTGGAACATGCGCCACAGAACACTGGCAAATCGCACAAAACGCTCATAACTCCTTCTAGATAGTCGCTTGGCAGATAAAAAACATATATCTGAATTCGGCGTTATAAGACGAGTCCAATGATATACAGCTTGTTTGGAATGGCTGGGTTGAGTTTTGACCATTTCCTCGTCAGCCTCACGGAGGCATTTCTTTCACAAAGGGGTGATCGTGTGAGCTATACTTGTGTAATTCGAAAATTTTTTATCGAATGAATGGATATCGAATAAATTCGAATATATTAGGTTGTAAAGAAAGTTCGCGGGCATTTGCGAAAATTTTCTTCAAATCGCTGTAACTTCAAGCAAATTGATTCTTTTCAAAAACTTCATTGCAAAGATAATTTTGTTTACATCACATATTTGTCTTGCTGGCTTCTCAGCCCCTCACTGCGGTCCACCAGCATGCGAAAAGGGAAACAGGTCGGCGCGAAAAGTGGCTATTTGTGCAGGATTATCTCAGGCCTGATGAGAGCTGGAGAGGCCAGATGCTGTAGTTATATAGAGGCCTGCTGGGGCTGTTATGGGGACCATTCATGTTTTTGAAGGATTTCCTGCAAAAAAATTTTTCCCAGAAAGTTTGAAAAATCGACCATTTTTTGCCCCTAAAAATGCACCATTTTTCGAGTAAGTGAATTTGAAGTCTTCTAGTTCTGCACAGAAAGGACCAAATCTTTGATTATTGGGAACATTGTTGGGGTAATGCCTTGCACATCCTTTGGACCCATCATCCAGGCGTGGCGATCCCCGCAGAAGTGACGCCAGCTGCGAAAAGAGTTGCAGTAAGAGGCAAGTTTGACAGCTTGTAATTTCCGAGCACAAATCGCAAAACTCAAGTGCAGCTGCGGGTCAGAAGTTAACAGGCTTTTCAATCAGATCACCCATGATTTGGACGAAATTCTTTGAATTGCACAGAAAATTGGCTGAGAAAGAAAAATTGTGAAATTTTTGTGGTTGGAAAGATCTTTCTTCTTGACATGCAGATCAAGCACGTCTTGGCATCTATAAAACTCAGGGGGCTTGTTGAAAACTATAGGCTTCCCTCTACTGAACAGTATAAAAAACTTGGTGTCAAAGTCCGACCGAGCGCCGAAAAAATGCGTTTGAAAATGAAATTTCCAAAAGTGCCCGGGAACTTTCTTTACAACCTAATAAAAAATCTCGAATAAACGAATATCGAATAAATTCGAGGTTCAAAAATTCTCGAATGAATGAATTCCAAATAAATTTGGAAAATCAAAAATATCGAATGAATGAATATCGTATATAGTCGAACATTGGAAGTCGAATTTCGAGTAAATATTTGAATGATTCATCGAATAACCAGAGCAACCATATCTCAAACTTGCCGACATATCTGGCTAAAGGCGATCCATTCATAATCAGCACCCTCGTATCCCCTATACCAACTCCTAGCTCAAAATGTTCCAAAAATCGCTGAAATCAATAAAATAAATTTCGATTCCAATCACCTCCTCATTTACTTCCCTGTACCAACTCCCAACGTCGTAGCTCAAATTTTTCCAAGAATCGACAAAATCGATAAAGTAGATTTTTAACCATAGTCAGCACCCTCACTTATCCCCTTGTACCAACTCCCAGCCGCAGCTCAAACTTCTCCAAAAATCGATAAAGTTGGTCGGTTGGCAACTAGTCTATACATCAGCAAAAAGTCACATTTTACCCATTATTGGACGATCTAAAAAAGCAGTCGATATAATTTTTTATGCTGTGCCCAAAAAACTCTTCTTCAGATGGTTTGAAAGAGATTGATGTACAGTAGCAACAACTTCGTTAATTATCAGCACCAACAATGTAAAAGTAGAAGTTCTAATGGTAGGAGTAGCAGAGGTTTCATACAGTCAAATGTCATATCGGTTGCAAATCTGCAATGCCAAGTTTTGCGGGAAAAAAAACGCGGACGAAGTGAGATTGATACTCAGCAGTTGGCTCTGCAACAAAGTCGAATAATCTCAATACGGAGTTCATTCGAATACAAATTCGAGTAAACATTCGAATAAAATCTATTCGAAACCCCGTTTTTTGATTATTCGAGTTTTCGAATATTATTCGCAAATGGAAGAACTTCGAATATCGAATTTCGAATACTTTGAATGTTTTATTCGAATGATCGAATTTCTACTCGATTCGGACCCAAGTATACAGTGTGAGCCTGATTGCGAGAATGGTATTGTGGAACGAAACTGTGCAGTGATCCTTAGAGAAAAGCACTATTTTAGAACGATATGATTCAGTTTCCGCCCAAATTTTGAGAAACCTTGCAAAGCTCGCTTGAGCGGTTGCGGCAATACTTGCGCTGATAAATTGGAAATTCATTCAAGAAAATCATAGGTTTGAAACAGTATCTATCTAGGAGTTTGCCCGACGCGGTTGCTAGCGAGCCGTGGGGTCGCTAATACATATATAAGACAGTAAGAATATGACTTTCGAAACACTTCAGATTCTTTTCCTACAAACCATCATAGATGAGTTGAGCGTGTTCAAAGGTGATGAAAGCTTAACAAAAAATTTGCTCAATTAAGAAACCGTCTGACTTCACTTCCAAAAAAATCTTAGGCCACTCAAGAATGGAGAACTCATATATGAAACATTGGGGACTACAACCACTAACTCTACAATAACTACAACCACTAACTCTGCAATAACTACAACCACTAACTCTACAATAACGACTACAACCACGATGACGACAACGACAACCAAAAAGCCAAAGCTCTCGACTACGCCTTGTCCAACAGCTCCTACTGTGAGAAAAGTACCAAGAACCACGACTCGTTGCCCTACACTACCTATGAGCGCTAGAGCTGGAAGAAAAGCTAGGGATGTCTTCAATTTGATCAAGGAAAAAGCGCTTTTCCCTGAAGCTGAACTAGGTATGTTCAATGTAATTAACAATTATCTTTTGTTGGTGTGATTAAAAAAAAACTGAAGATCAATACATTATCGGAAAATACCGCTTTGCTTTTTCAGCGTTGACTATATTGCATTAGTTGAGAAAGGATATGGAGTTTATCACTTTTCGTAACAGCACAATACCTTTTGTGTTACAGAAGACAAAGAAATTTGTCCTGACAGTTTCATGACAAACAGGCTTAGGATACGCTTTCTTGAAATGCATAATTATCGCAGGTAGCTTGTTCACAGTAGTTATATTCGACAATATAGCTTGTTGACTATTACCTGCTTTTAGGGCATTGGTCGCACTTGGGAAGATAAGGTTCAAGGGGAAGTCTCTACCGCAAGCTCAGAACATGCAAAAATTGGTGGGACTAGCATCAACTTACAAAAATAAAAATCATGATCTTGTAGAGATACGATTGCAAGCTGGAAGAAGTCGCAGCGCATTACGCTAGCCAATGTCCAGAGAGAAGTTTTCGTGAAATTTCCACCAAAGAAATTGGCGAGAATTTTCTAAGAATCGGAGATGATGTTGGAGATTTTGAGGAAGCAGTCATCGCTGTATGTAATTCCAAAAAATCTAGGAATCTTCAAGACTCTCACATTACAGACTGTCAGCATATGGTGGGACGCTGCTAAAAGATTTGGTGCAATCGATCCTTTGATGTTACTGAAATCCCGTAATTTCGGCCCTCGCATACTCTCCTTTACACAGGTAGGACAATAACATCTGGAAATTGAAAATTTCTATTATCGAAAGAAATACGTAAGCCTTCTGTCACCACTTTTAGATGGCTTGGGCAACGACTCGATACATCGGCTGCTCTATCGTCAAGTGTTCGTCCTCATATGTATCAGTTTGCAGGTATCAACCAAGGTACGTCGTTCCGATACTCTTGATTTAGAGAGTTTTGAACAGCCCAACAAGGAAAGTAACTTTTTGTTCAAATTCGAGAACCTGTCGTACTATCGTACAGAGCTAGCTTCTTACAGAGGAAGCAAAATTTGCAGTGGCCATTTTTGTTACACAGTGTCCCAAAAGTATGTACAACCTAAAAAATTCGATAGACCAAAGAAATATTTAAGATTTTGAAAAGCAAGCTATAGAAGCTTTGGGTGTTAAGTATAAGAATTTAGGAATAACGGAACATGATCATCTCAAAAAGCATGGGTCGCAGATTTTGGCAATTTCCCGAGAGCCCAATGACAATGCTGCATTGAGTTTACGATAATTATAAAGGGAATAAAATTCTGCATCAAACGCTCCCCAAATCTCTTAGAAATCTTTGTTCTCCCAAATATGGCCCTCATTCGACAAAAGCGACATTACTTTCGAAACGAACTAATAATGTATATAATTAGTGTAATTCTTGAATTTTCCAAATATGCAAATTAGCCTTAATTTAGTTTTGGGAAGCCTGGCTACCGCTACGTCCACGGAATAAAATAACGGGTTAATGTTCTGCAAAATGAGAAATGTCTTTGAAAATCTAGGAGTGCCATGCAAAAAAATTTTCTGTCGACCTCGCCTCCGATCTGAAATCCTGACGGCCACCGGTGAAAAGGGAATCAGATCAAGGCGACTTCTGACTTGTCGCTCTTTGACCGAAAAGGGGCTATAAATAGCGGTTCGAGGGTTACCGTCATTCACTCTACAAGTTTTCTGAGAGAGGAGAAGGATAGATAAAAGCATCATAGTTGGGAGCATCCGAAATGCAAGTTTGGGACCGTTCAAAAAGCACATAGGCAATTTGTAGAAATCAGAAACCACTGTGTTTTTGTATCCATCCTTTGTTAGATCTTCTACCGTAGAGATTAATGGTTGTATAGTGCATCAACGCCGCCAACCTTATTTGCACATAAAAAGCATTTGTCTTTGAAACTTGTCACTGTGACCGTAGAGAAATCGAACGAGTGTCACTGCTGTCTTACATCAGAACCAAGTAAATTTCAAAAAATTCCGCATTTTCATGGTGAGGTAAATTGGCTTGCTGAGATTGTTGACAGGCTTCTTGATCTGGAAGATATGAAACAAAAGTCACGACCAGTATAGAGCAAGAGGTGTGGTACACAACCTCCGGGCACGATCCCCCCCCCCTCCCCTCCTCCCCCACCAGTCCTTGTCTCAACCCCCTTCTCCAGTTTTTGTCCCACCCCTCCTCCCAGCATTGTCATTTTTCTGCCGTAAGCATAACATTGAAACTCTATCAAACATAATTAGTAACACGTTTGCAATTAGCACGTCGGATAACTCCTATGGGCCAAGGTTTAGCGAATTTTGAGGGTTCCCGATGTTGAGTCACTCAAGTGAATTGGTCATTTTTAAACACAGTTAACTTCATTTCAAAAGTAATTAGCTACCCTTTACTGCATTCAATACAAAGCACTACTCCTTCTTCGACCACATGAAAAATCCCACTTCAAGTGATTTTCACTTTGGACTTAGAAGCCATCCAAACTTTCATTTGTTCAATTTTTCGCAGGCAACCTTTCTGCTTGCAACTTCTACAAGATCGAAGAAGATGAATCAGGCTCAAATCAGTCACGTGAGAACTATGAACCTTTGCTATTGAACTGTTATGTTAACAAGGGCCAAAATTCTCGCTGGAGATAAGCTAGTGGGGTGTGGCACAACTCCGCGGTGTCCCTGCAAATTTCCAAAGCATGGAAGCAGGGAAGTCACCTTTGAAGCAAAGCTAATCGTGTTTGAAAATGATCATTTTACCGTTGCTGGCCTAATATCTGGAAACCTAAGAGCTTGCAAAAACTTGATTTACACGAGTTGTTTGGCATGCTGATTACGAAAATGATGCCCTTTTGCTTTTGAGGCTTCTTTGTAATGCTTACTACGTATACGATAGCATGTCAAGTCTCAGTGCGCTTGTATTCTGCATAATGGGGTTGTCTGACACTTCTCTCGAAAACGTTTTTGCTTACATCACTATCACCTCGATAACGACACCCCTAATTCCCGCAATCCCTCGTTACGACTCCCCAGGTGTGGCGTGCCACACCCACGCTTAACCCTGGTCATGACCTGGACGAGTTTTCGCTACGCTATTTTCGCCATCCCTTGGAAGAGGCAGCTTCAGCCAGCACTCCTATAATATTACTGGCATCGAGGCGTGTATCTGCGCCCCATCCACCTATTCGTGCAGTGTCACTTTAGCACCGATGACTTTTGGAGGGAAACAAAATTTCAGCAAGGCCTGAACGGCATGCACTGTGTGGCTCTTGACTCCTCAGCCGAATAATCATGACATAAATCCGTAATCTCCATAAGCACACATTTAACTTGAAATAAGGTCACATTTCAGTGATTAGCATGAATAGTATTGAATAGTATCCCTAGGTCAAGCTTCTTCCGAACCTACTATTGATGTTTGCGTATATTGCGTCAGTTGCTTCAAAATATATTTAGTGTTACCTTTAAACACGATCAAAAGATTTGCTAGAAAATGGCTGTGTTTCTAGCTACAAATTGAACTAGATGATATCAAAAATGAATGCGCAATGCTTAGAAGGAAAAACGTTATGGAAAAAGCTGCAAGGCATGGTTGTCAACCTGTTCGTATAAAGGGGGAGACGGTCAAGAGGCGCGTTTCAGATGTCACCAACTTCAAACTCTAGTTTAGTGCTATGCTATAAAGGTAACTTGCCCAGAACTTGGAATTCCAACATATCAAACGAATGAGTATGTTTTGTATGTTTAGCTTCTATAAAAGTACTGTTGCACTATATTAGCGTTTTTTTCTACCAGGCTAGTCGTGCCAAATGCGGCAAAACGATAAAGATTATGGCCCAAATGAGTGCAAGGATTGGGTTTGATTAAAAAATTTCCAGTCGAACTTCTTTGACTCAAGAATGGACTGGTTGATTTTTGAAAGTTATCTGCATAAAATGTAAAATTCTGCAGGTGACTTGCCACCAAAGGACATACGATTGACTACTGCAAAATTTTCTTAATGCATGATTCAAAGGCATTTTACTTTACAGCTGAAGAAACAAATAAGTGCGTGCGAGCTTTTATAATGACTTTTGAGGGCTAGAAAATCACCACTTTAGTATATTTATCTTCCCAGATTACTCTGGTACCAATATAAACTCCCCACTGTTTGGGGAGCTTCCTTTGCCCAGGCACGGGTTGAAACTTTGTTCCAACCTATATAGTCACAGCTGCACTTCGCACCACTTACTACCTCTTTTATCTCCGGATTACTTTTGAGTAATTGAAAGGAGTTATGAAAATATAAGTTAACTTTGTGAAAACCTTTCCAGGGTCAATTGCCGCCACTTCCTTTTTTAAGACCAGGGGTTATATGTGCGCTTAAAAGTGGGGAAACATCCCGCAGATGGTGCTAAATCATCGAGAGTAAACGTTTGACGCAAAGGCTCAGCAATAATTCACTTCAGATTAGGTTAGAGCTGACTATTACTATTCTGTGCGTCACCACTGCTTGTCAGAAGCTTACACTGGCTCTGCTTACTATCTTACCTTTCTCTATTGGCTTAGTAATAGCTCTGAAACAGACCTCGCGATGCCGACCAATACGAATAACTGTAAACAAGTAATAATATCAAAAAGTTTTCCATGTAAAAAGGTGGTAAAGGAAGAGAATTTTCTGCAAAAAGATAATTCCAAATCTGAATCAATTATGAGATTTATCGCGGCTCGGTAGGTGCTAAAACGGAGAATGACCATCACTACACCTCTGCGCAAAAATCTTTTCGATTCAAATAGAGACTTAGAAAATTCATAAATACTTCACTGAACTATTTGGCGCCGTATAGCACAAATTATATTTTTTGATTACATTTTGGGTCATAGTCAATTGTCAAAATATATACTGTCGTACAAAATCATGACTTTGCATAACGGATCAGTACTGCCAGCTTGAAGCCGTGTGGATCTGTTTGACGCACATTATCTGTAGTTTCAACGAATCGAATCCGCACGAAATTTGCATAAAGGGCCTCCATGCCGATAAGATGCTATGACCAAACTTTCAGCTCAAGTCGTCTGCTAGAACCCGCTCGATTGATTTCGCAGAGAGAGAGATATTAGACAGACAAACAGACGTAGAAAACCTAGCTCGTTATTATAAGTCACTAGCTGTCATCCCGGGTTCCAACCCGGCGTGGAGTTAGTCCATCGCGCATGACCCCTCGTGTAGCAAAACTTACTCTTCTTTCACCTCTGACCTGCCTTGGGTTCGCTCTCTACCGTCTCCTCACCACTTAACGACCGGGAATGAAAACTTTACAGCTTGTCTAACTTGACTATGAGTAGATGCTCGTTGTTAAGAACTCAATAAATCTTCAATAATTGAATTGAGAACCCAATAAACTGCTTCAAAAGTAGTCCATGCGACCTACGATGTAGAAAATTTATTAAGCGGCAAACTTTGCGCGGTACAGAGCACATTAATCTGTGTTCATTACCACAAACCAGCGAAAAAATATGAATTAAAAAACAAGAAAAGTTTTTTTCCTGAAACGTCGTCTTTCCCAAACCACAACTCCCTTCCAAGTTTGTCATTATCATTGGTAAGTAGCCTACATTGTAGCCGCAAGCCAGTAGTGCACATGGGGATGAAAAGGGCTTGAACAAAAAGGATTTGCGAAGAAGAATATTGAGTTCTAAAAATATCAATGTTCTCAACATTCTTTCAGAAGGGCTGAAACTCCGGAACTATGGGATTTTCCGATTTCCTGTAAACAGAACACCTTGGTATTTTTGCAAAAATTATCAGCAGAATGTCCTAGCAAAGCGATAGCGTTCTCCAAAAGAAACCTTGTGGACCATAGAGGCCTAAATGGCTGAACCATGTTGAGGTTTCGATATTACAAACTAGGTATCATCAATAAACGCATTCAAGTGTGCATTATATAGGCAGTACCCATTGCATATAGTGGCTAAATTTTCAAAAGAGCACCATCATTTGCGTCTGAATTCTGGCCAAAAAAGTGAATGGAAGAAATTTGGGTTTTGAGTGCGGTTGTAAGAAGCGTTGTAAATTCTCAGCAGATTAGGCTATAAGCACTTTTCAGCCATCATTAGATAGAGCATAAAAAGGGTTTCTCATTCGTATGCTGAATGTTTTCAAAGAAAAAAGTTCGATGGGAAAAGTTGTTCTGAATTAAGGCCTAGAAAAACGTCTATTGATTTTGCATCAACGTAATATTAGGTTGGGACAGTTCGTTCGCACAGTTTTCAAAAATTCCTAACTTCTGGTACTTCTGGCTGATTTATGTGGTTTCATTTTTATCTAGAAGCGCAATTCATTCTCTTCATAGCGGTGCCTTAGCGGCTTTCTATTGAGCATATACTGCATAGATATAAGCGGTAGAATATAATTACTCAAATTTTGATTTTTCTGTGCAGGGTCATAAAAAATCTGGAACTTGCAGCGGAGCAGCCGGTATTATAGGTCTATCACCAGCCTTTCTAACTGTGCAACTATGAAAAGTTATGATTTTCGAGCAAGCGATACAAAAGGGGAATTTCATTTATTTCCCAGAAAATAACTTTTCACAGAGACGCTCAACTTGCACAAATTTTGCACAGTCAGAAAGAGCTGGTGATAGAACCTATAATACCGACTGCTCCAATTTTACTCCAGATTTTTTATGATCCTACACAGAAAATGTAATTTTCTTCTACCGCTTCTATTTATGGAGTGTATGCTCAGTAGAAAGCCTTTCAGCCACCGCCTTGAAGAAAATGAATTACTCTTTTGACAGAAATGAAAACACGCAAATCGGTTGGAAAACCAGAAGTTAGGAATTTTTGTGCAAACTGTGCGAACGAGCTTTTAGGCTAACCTAACCCTGTGTGCAGACTTTCAGCTCAAGCGGTTCAGGCATTGTGCCATGTATAGGTTGACAAGGCATGTGCACAAAAAGACACAAGCATCTTCTGCTTTATATAGTTAGGAATGATGCCCAAGACGAACAACCCACTGTTGAACAGAAGCATAGTCCCTTCTTTATTATGTGTAATTTTTTAACGAATTCTTTTAAGGGGAAATGTGATCAAAGAGCTCGTCTACAAGCCAGGCAACACCTGCACTGATTGCGCTACTGGAAGTAAGTGCATTGAAGAGCTGGGACTCTGTGACTGAAAGGAAGAAGCTTGTTGAATTTTCCGTTTTCTATATTATCTCTCATCTCCACATTATATCTGAACAATGGCTTAGCACTTCTGCAAGGTTAATAAATATCAATACCAGACCTACAACAGATTGTGGCAGCGTGCTTATAAATGGGATGAAATATTTAGCTGCATTATGTTTTGCTGCACATGCGCTTCTGCTGATAATATTGTAAAATATTGCTGGTAATCTTGTAAAGTCAGGAATCTAGAATCTTATTGTTAGTGAAAAACCCATGTCACTTCAAAGAATTCACTGAGCAGCTAACTCAACTCTCAAAAGACTTTTCTAAAAAGTTAATGGGTATGTGCGAGGATGCACCTGTCTTCAGGAGAATTTGGTCACATCCTGGTCAGCTAATAAGATAGACTGCTGATTATCCGAACGAAAGTTTCCCAGTACTTGCAACTGTGCTCTTTTCATTGGACCACCTAATTCTGTACCCCAAAATCATAACCAGAATGATGATCCAGACTTCCTTCTAAAGGTCCATTTATAACCATGATTATTTTAACAATTTTGAGTATTGCTACTATTTGTCCTTTTATTCTCCATAATTGAGTCAAAAAGCAAATTTCAATATGAAATAAAGTTCTCTACTAATAGGTAGCTTCATAAGTGTATTGATATTGACAAAATTCTGCTCACTTTCATTTTTTGATTTAGCTATAAGAGTACAAGATAGTAAAGCAAGCTTTATAAGAAGGCTCTCAAACAATCTTATGAATTGTTATCCATCTAAAGATCTATTGAGGAAAGCTACTAACTTAGCTCGTTCTTTTGGCAAAAGAAGTTCTGGATCAACTTCAAACGCTGATTCTATTATAAATATGCTATTCCTAGCTGCCGAGCTCCATTACGAAGCGAGTTATGGACTTTTTCCTGCGCCACTTTGGCATACTACTGAACATGGAAAGACTGCATGAAAATAAAAAGCAAGAAAAATGCTGAGATATCGAAATAACACAAATCTATTCTTTTCTCACTAAAAAGAAGTTCAACGCAATGTGCTACCACTTAGGGGGTGGCGGGCAAGAGGAACGATAGGTGGTGGGTGTCAATAACTCGCGCGTCTTTTACCGTCATTTTTGTCCATCAGCACACAGAAAACTAGAGCATTTTTTCCCATTACACTTTCATTTGAACAGGAGAATGATATAGGTTCTGTTTGCTTGGAAATGAGAAGTGAAAATAAGTTATAAACATCAAAAAAGGGTTCTAAAAGTGAAACTTTAAGTATTTCAAGCTTATTCCTGCAATAACATCACCGAGTCGCACATACCACTGGGCTCTGAGCAGAACTCATTAAGTCAAGCATTTATCCCAACTTTACCTAAATTTATAATTCTGAAATCAGCGCAGTCTGAGGCAAATGTTACATTGGCAGGTGCGGCTGGCAATTGCTATCGTTACTCTTGCACCACACCCCCACTTAGGTGACGATACCGTGACGTTCAGTGAGTCGATGAGTATGCCAAATTGGCGCAGGAAAAAGTCCATAACTCGCTTTGAAATAGTGTTCGACAGCTAGAAATGGCATATAAGGAATCAGCGTTTTAAGCTGATTCCAAGCATATGTGTCTCTTGTCAAATGGCCGAGCTGAGTTAGGTAGCTTCCCTTGTGAGTAAAATTTTATTTCTTGCCTGCATTGAAATCAAATCTACCATCCCCTCCCCCTATTTGCTCACGAATCTCTACATCAAACTTCCACACGTACAGTCGCTGAATTTTACTCAGTCCAAAAAGAAACAAGGTTGAGCAAAACTGCGAATAATCTAGAAAATGTTTTACTGATTCTTTTTGTGCAATGCTTTTTCTCAAGAAAGCTGGTAAAAAGGTGGAACTTCATGCTCTTACCTTAATGAGTATGTACTACTACCTGGCAATGCGGGAACATACCGCATAGCTTTCATGGAAATGCCGTGGGGCGCGTTAATTACGAGAGCGACTGCTTCGCGAGGCACGCGCCCAGTGAGGGGCTCAAGTCTGTTCTCCTTTAGAGCACAGGGTGCGACTTGTATTTGCGAATAGGGTACTATGGATCACCTATGTAAGAATATCCACCCCGGCATAACTTCAACGGAAACATGCAATTTTGCCTTTTCTCGATTGCTAACAAGGAAAGTACAGCAACTTTAATGTTAGAAAATTATATGCTTAAGCAAGTTAGAAACGCGTACGATTTCTCTGGGTGAAGCTACAATTGTCCGTCGTTTCAAAGCCTCTACATTACGGTTTCAAACTTTATGTGATCCAACTTGGTGGAAAATGAGCTCCATCTTGTAGACCTTGCTTTGCTTTATCAAACGGTACCTCTTCGAACAAAAATCAAAAAAATGACTTGTTGCGGAAAATAGTCAAATCTGTAGAGATCTATGGGACAGCCTAGCTGATTAGCAGCTTCCAAATGTAAGATTTTTGCTAGTGTACTCAAAATTTAAGCTCTTTACCACCTTTGGTTCTTGTGAAATAACAAATTTTTCGCAAGACCCAAAAAACGACACGGGATTGTTCGCAAATTTCAAATAGCGAATTTTGTGCAACCCCACCCCCCCCCCCCCCAAAATATTCTGGATCGCTCGTAATTTTGGCTTGATTTTGTTTCTTGACTCCTAGTCATAGAATAAATCCAGCAACTGTACCTGTAATACGTATGTATAGAGCGTATGCGTGAAAATTTTGAAGATATGCAGGATGTTCTTAAAAAGAGAATTGATTTTCGGCTCCTATGAAAAACTTCAGAATTTTGCATCAAACTTCACATGGACTACTGTCTTTGTCAATATTCCAAACCTATCTATACAGCTCACTCTACTAAATAGTTATTAGCTTAAATTCAGAAATTAGAGGCATGCAGATCTTCAATATGATAAGACTTATGGGATAATCTAATGGGATGACTTTAGCATGGGTGGAGGGGGAGGGGGAGAGGAAGGGGAGGATGAAGGATGCGATGTTAAATGGAAAACGCGAATGCAAATCCGGAAATATGTCCATCGGAGTTGTTAGCATCAAATAGGGGGTCCCTGTGCTTTAACATGAAGTAATGGTGACGAAGGGTTTAACACCGTGATTTAGGGTACAACTTTGTGAAGAAATTGCATGATTTATCACTATGGTTCTGTGCATCTGTACAAAGCATGGCCTAGAAAGTTTTGCAAATAAAGCCCTCGAAAAGTTGCCATTTTCGGGAACCTCGGAAAACTTATAGATGCTCTTAAGGACTGGGGGAGGGGAAGAGGGGTGGGGGAGGGGCTTTTCGACGTGACACACGGGGACTTTCGACGAAAACGCTCAATATGTCACGAGGATTGACGAATGTCAAGATAAATATGATAAAGTGGGAACTTCACGGTAATTACTGATGTTAAATAGATATTCAATATGCTGGGCCAGAATAAAAGCAAAAACAGATAGGATTTTTTTCAAAAGTTCTTACGCGAATGGAGTATTTACGCTGTTTGCCTATGAGCCTGGCATCATGAGTATATTGATGAAATTATACCAGAAATCGTTTAGATACCGTTTGCAGTACTATTCGTAAGCAATTCTCTCCTTTAATTTTGAAACTTTTTTCAGCCTGTCAATATCGGGTATACTTTATGTACCTATATATCATATATCTTCTTGAATTAAGCAAGTTCATTGTCACCGGTACAAAGGTGAGAAAGGCAATGAGAAGAGTATCGAGAAGTTTGATTATCAATGATTTAGTAGCCTTTCTTCCGTGTCAATCACATCAAAAGAGCTACATCGTGCCTGTCTAGAAAACTGATAAAGGACTTCCTGTGGTTAATTCTTTTATTGTAAGTGAGCATAATTACGAATCATTATCAGCTTTCAGAATTATCTATAGGTTTTACGATTTCACTTTTGCAAAGTTTGAGCTATGAGAGTGGGATGGCACGAAAGGAAATGGGCATGCTATTTACAAAAAAAACAGGGATAGGGAACTGGCATGTAGAAGAGGGCTCAGGGAAAGGTTCTACAGGAATAGGGATGGTGACCTCTGCCATAGTGTTTTGACAGGGCCGGGCGGAGCCGGTACCAACTATTAGGCTGTCTCATAATTTTTCACCGTTTTTGCCCTAAACATCAGCATTTCTCGAGAACTGGGGCAGCTACAAAAAAATCCAAATACATGATCGTACTTCTATATGTATGAGCTATATGATCGCATGCGTGGGAGGAGCTCAGGACGTCTAGGGGCGGAGTTTGCCATTTTGCCTCATTCATTTTTTCTTTATTTCCAGCCGTGGAAAAATCTGGAAAGTATGCAGTCGAGTGTGCGATGTGTCAAGCATATCCTAGAATAAATGGGGAATTTTTTAGATACTTTGGAGCGGAGATACGATTTTTTTGACAGAAAATTTCGTTTTCAACTATTATCATATTTCAGCTGAAAACTTCACGTGGGATATGATTTGGGCAGACATTTGATAGTCATCTTGTAGAGCTTGCTTTGCCCTGTCGAACGATTACTCAAGCCACACCAGATGAAGGAAAGGTACGAAAAGACGGCGGTTGCAGTAACAACGGTAAAAAATTATGAGACAACCTAATAGTTAGACATAAAAGGAATTCTTGGACTAATGAGTAACCATGTCAAAAATATGATATATGCTTGAAAACTGCAAGAATTTGATAAACATTCGCAGCCAGGCGACTTCGAGTGAAGATCGCGCAGCACATCGAGTTGGAGATACAGGAGCACCCACTTCTGTTACCTCATCACAATTGATAAAGGCAGCCTAAGATTCCTCATTGCTACATATGAATTTATAATGAATTCTATAGTTGCGCCCTTCTTCCTTCCTTGATGGCACCAATGAAAGTGGGGAAATGGCTGGGAATCGCCTTTGTCAGCTTTTCGTATCCACGGAAATGAACAGATTGATATTGTCTGCTTGGTGGCAGTTTGTACAGATGACGCCTGTCCCAAAGTTAGCGTTGGTTTATTTTTTTACAGTTCAGAAAATCAACTTAGCACGAGTTTTGATGGCTATGGGGTTCCAATTATCTATAGTACACATTTTTTAGATGACTTAGCCACCAAATAAGGATCGACGGTTCTGTTCGCTCGCCGAGAAGCACCCAATTCGAGTTGATCATCGTTTACTTGTGAAGGCCAGGGCTGCTGACAGCTTCCAGAAAGACAGCAGAACATTTTCTGGTGGGACCAGTTTCTTTACCTTGTCCTACGCTAAGATCTAGATGGTTACAGAGGTGTGCTTAGAACCAGGTGTCCATCTCTCTGGCCTTACTTTGCTTGCACTCTCCTTGGCTGCGTCGGCAGTGTCCTTATGTGTAGGGGCAAAATGAAGAAGCTATTAGATGGAAGACCTTCTTTCTATATCACAGTAAGACACTTGCTAATCTGCTCAGGTTTTTCGTTCTTTCTGCTTTCAGGATCTCCACACAACAGAAGAACTTGGTGCAAAATACATAAAGACGTTGTTGTTGTGACAGCTAATAAAAGCTGTAGTATAAGTGTTGTACATAGTTTATAGATCTGATATTTCTGGAATGTTATGAATAAAATAATTTTGTATGACTGTTTCAAAATCATGATAACTTTGATATACAGAATTTTTTAGATATGGTAGATATACAGCATAGTCGTTTTTAGCGACGGCTATTACAGTACGCTAAAATCAGCACGATGAAGTAACCCGTTTAAAGAGCAAAAGCTCGCGAGAATCGCGAGTATGAATATCAACTCTCCTTGTCCTTCTGGATGCGCTGAGTTCAGAAGTGTGCTTGAAATCTGATTTTGTCAAAAACGTCTTTTAATGCTTTCCGGTCTTGGAGATTGCTAGAGGGGCTGGAAGAGCGATTCCGCCGCAGAGGCGCGTGGCTGCCTGATCCAACCAGCCAAGTGCCGCTAAGGGGTGGAGTTACTTCCCCACCTCCTGCAGTCTGTTTCTGGCGGGAATTTCTCCTCCAGCCTCCTCGGCAATTCTCCGACGCCGTAAAACTCTTTTTTGCAACTTCGAGATTTCAAGCACAGTACAGGACTCATCAGTTCATTCACAAGGCCATGGACGCAAATATCGGGACCCACTGTCTCTAAAGCCTTCTCTACAGTATTCATATGGGAATTTCACATACCCAAAGCCTGGACGCCTTCAAGCACATCTGTGCGCATCCTGTATAGACGAACAAAACCGTGCTATTTTTTGCTCATCACAGACTGTCGAGAATATCCTACATTTACAAATTTCAACTTTTGAGTGAAGAGCCGAGCCGCATTTTTTTTTATAAAGCAATATCGACGCTTCGACGCTTCATTTTGGATAAAACGAACATATGACTGTAAATAGGCTGACATTTACAACTTAATTAACCCGACGCTGCGTTGGATTTTGCCTCAAAGTCGTTTCGTAAACATTTCCCGCTGACTGATCGTTCTTTCAGCTTTGAAAGCTCAACGATTTGAACAAGAAAAAATTGTCGTGTTGGAGCGACTTTTGAACAACAGTCCGTAGACATGGCAACTAAAATTTTGGTTGGTTCTCTTGCATGCATAAAGACAAGATGTGACCTAGAATTTTCTCCCCCTCCCCCCCTCCCTCAAAGTCACGAGGTGTGGAACTATCAGGATATGCATGCAGAAAACCAACAAACTCCATAATGGAATGGGCGAGGTGCGAGTGTACAACCTCATATTGAGATGGCTATGTAATTATCCTCTGTTTCAATGGCAGTGTCACACACTGGAGCAGTCGCAACTCGGTCGCCTCTTTTTTTGCGGTGCCGATATATTTATCGCAAACAAAAGCGATATGCGCACTATGGCCATTTTTCGCGCTTCGCAAACAAATTCTCGGCAGAGGCAATTGTTGTCTTCACCGCAGATCGATACATAACCGTCAGATGTTAGATTCTGCACAAATTATGAAGACTTACACTCTGTCCCAATTCGTATGAGGCAATGAGTGACATAATGCGCTCGGATCGCCGTGGGTCTGCGCGTTATGTCTTCGGTCCGCTATAGGGATTCTTGTTAGGACCTCCTGTTCTATTCTCTTTGCGCGCAATTATAACTTAAGGAGTAGATTTTTAGCACTGCAAGCGCGACCAAGCCTAGCTTTTGGCCCAACCTCAGCTCAGAAAAAGTGTAGAACAAAAGAGCGCACAAATAAGAGCAGCTTTTTCTGCAAATAGGACGGCAGCTGGTATCCACTGACAAGGCATCTCCTTCGATTGATATAGTTTTCAAAATTCCTTTAATTCCATTTAAATAAATTTTGTTGGATGATGGAGCGTTATCAGAGCCCTTATATCCTTTGCGCTGGAACCCGTAATGCCATTAAGAATGCTGCCTTAACGGGAAGCGCGCTCCAATCAAACAAGACATTGTATCCGGCTCTAAGAAAATCGCAAAATCTTGTAGCAACTCAGTTTTTTTCCGAATAGTCCCTTGCATGATATCCATCCGTAACAGGCAAAACCAACCTTTTCTTCTCGCTTCAACATCTCCTCGCTATAGCCAAGAAAGTAAAGCTCATCTTTTACTAGAAGGTTTGTGTTGTTAACTACATTTCATAGTTTCCTTTTATTGCTGAAAAAGAAGATAGGGGAGTTTACGAAAAAGCTGGTCCTATATTTGTCTAGCTGAGGCGTCGCCGACAAGAGTTTTACTTTTTTAGGAAAAATCGAGAAAATACAAAACATATATCTTGTGTTAACAGCAAACATCAGAATCCTGACGTGTCAATTTCAATTATTGCTCAATAATAAGCGCTAGTTTCGATGATAATTCATTTGTGGTATTTTACAGACACTGTATGAGCATGTGATAGGCCCGCCCACATGATCATTTTAAAGCATTGAATGGAGCTCTGAGGGAGCAGTGTCATTCGACATGAGGATCTGTCTAGCTATAGCTGCGGTAACTTCGATTTACATTGATTAAGTGCTGTAAAGAATGTTTTCAGGTGACTTTCTTGCTGCCGGTGTTTGTATCAGGTACGATCACAGCAAAACCTCTTACTTTGTTGGATGCCAAGGAATACGAACCCGTTCTTTAGGCGACCTTCAATGTCCTGATGGAAAACTTGATGAGGACGAGATCTATGATGAAATCCTGGGCGTTCTTAGAAATGCAAGAGGAAGCCTAAAGGATGGGCTTGTAAAAAACGGTCCCGATGGAGATTATTTACCAGAGGCGTGGGACATGGAAAATTTGGTCAGTCCAACGTAATTTCTTTGTGGCTTCACATCAGTGAAAGAAGGGCTAGAATACAGCGCTCCGCTCTGACGGAGCTTTTAACATCATTTACAATACCGCTCACATTTTTTGAAAAAAAAAAGAAGCGGATCGAACTAGACTCACGCAACGATCGCGTAAACTACTCCGATTCGCGTTCTTTTTTTTTCAAAAATTGTGAGCGTTACTGTAGTTATACAGTGCTGGACATAATTATAAAGCCACTCTTGGTGCAAAAGTTTTGTCAGTTTTTTCAATCCATTGGCAAGCACGCTAGAATGAAGATAAACAAACACTTCAAGAAGTATCCAATGCAGAATTTCTTTTTATTTCTAGCCGCTAAACTCACATTGTGTTTCGTTGCGAGAGTGACGAGATATTTGCCGGAAATTACAATCACTCGTTTTTACCATGTCCATCTTTCACTAATTTTAAAAATTTTTGTATTCGATTTTCGGAGGAGCCCTAATAACCTCCAGATAGGGCAAACCTTTTGCCAACAGAAGCAATTTTTTGTAGCCCTACGCCTTGTCATTTAGAATTTCTACGAAATTCGTGGGGAAAATCGCAGTATTTCTCAATTTCATGAGTGCGCACTGACGTAACTAATGTTTCAAAATCTTCATAATTTAAAACGAAAAGCGCTCATTTACTTTGTAATGGTAGCAATAGTAATGATCGTGTGTTGAAACCTCAGTATTCTGTAGGTTCTGCAGTGTTTGGTACAATGAAAGGTTATGCGATTTTTCCAAAACATAAGACTTTCAGAAAATTACTTAGCAAAATCCTGAGAAAGCAGTAAAAAAAGAAAAAAATTGCTTCTGTTGGCAAAAGGTTTGCCCTACCTGGGGGTTATTAGGGCTCCTCCGAAAATCTCATACAAAAATTTTGAAAATTAGTGAAAGTTGGACATGGTAGAAACGAGTGATTGTACTTTCGGCAAATATCTCATCATTTTCTCAACAAAACACAGCGAGAGTTTAGCAGCTGGAAAGAGGAGAAAATTCTGCATTGGATACTTCTTGAAGTGTTTGTTTATCTTCATTCTAGCGTGCTTGCCAATGGATTGAAAAAACTGACAAAACCTTTGCACCAAGAGTGGCTTTATAATTATGTCCAGCACTGTATAAGTCTGGATTACTTTGCTTGTTTTGAAGGAAGAGGTTCCAGAAATGGAGTTGTGAGCTAGAAAAGACAGCTATGAGCGTTCTGGGAAACTGCGACGATGAAATTGATGAGGTCGATAGCAGTAAGCGAGCACATGGCAAAGCGGAGATCTATTCTTGGAGGTCAGTGGTTTTCACGAGCTTATGCAGTTTAGTTCGGAGGCCTTGTTTAGTGAGCATGAATAGCTCATGCTCACTAACAAGGATTCCATCTGCCTTCTTGTAACGTCACCGTGACGTCACCGCCCCCTCGCCCCGCCTCCTCAATGGTTAAGAAGGCCCTCCGCAGCTCTGCAAGATTTCGACTGTCCTCCGAAGCTATGGCACCGATTGTCTGAGAGGGATTCGAAAAATCGTGACGATGACGCGACCGCACGCACCTCCAAGCAACCACATTTTCTTGGTTTTCATCTCTACTCGAATGGGGGTGGAGGACTATATGTCGCCGAATTTGGAAGAGTCCCGCACGGATTTCCTGCAGGAACGCATGTCCGCGCATATACAAGGGTGCGTATTTGTCGCAAATGACCGCGAGGACCGCCCCTTTTCGGCGACTTATAGTCCTCCACCCCTCGAATGACGGCATTTGAATGAAGGTGACTGAGCTGGGAGTTGAGGTAATGCCTTCTTGTATGAGTGTTTTCTGCTCCTGTGGGCAAAGTCCGCAGTCAAATTCGCCTTCACGATTTTTAGACGACCTATAGATGCAGACGTGTATGCTAGGATAGCAAATATGTAGAATCTTGAGAAGCCAAGCAAAGCTCAATCTTGGCCAATCAAATCAACTCGGAACAATTCTTGATTGTAAAATTCAGCGTAGCATTGACTAAAAATGTACTCAGGCAAAATTGGCCAACAACAGTTTTCTGGGCAATCATTCATCAAGAAGCACAGTATCATCCCAAGCACCAAGAAGACTTGTTTTGAGAAATAGATTTGCCTAGCGAGAACGATCCCGTGCTTTCTCCATTCATGCTGCTCTATCATATGTGTTAAAAGTCTGAATGTATGCAAGCATTTTTCTAGCGTGCCGAGTTCTTCCACATTAAACTGAATTCGGTTCATTTTCAAGACCTTCTTCATGCTGCTTTGGGTTGTTTCTCGTCCTTCTGAAAAATGATGCTATTTAATATTAGTTATCTCTACTACAGAGGCACAGGGTGCATAAAATGCTGGCTGACCCCCAACATTTTTAATGATGATCTCAAAAAGAGGAGCGGTCCAATTAACGCTTATTTAGCTTACGGATTACTGATCAGACTTTATTCGCCTAAAAATTCATCGCCATCTCATTGAGCAAAAATTGTACATTCTCTCTGTCAAAACAAAACAACAAGTTCGATGACTCTGAACTAACAATAAGTAACAAACACAAATCGCACGCGTTGCTATTCACTCAAGTTTGTCACTTTTAATATTCTTAGGGTCCCCAAGAATTCTGACTCTGATTCGGACATAGGCGATGCGCTGAAATCGTTCGTAGGCACTATTGCTAATGAGGAACTGCGGGATGTCAGTAGCAATGGGATCAAATTCAGCGGCGAAGGTGAGGCAATGGCCAAATACGCAAACGTAAGTCGCAAAACATTTAGAAAGTTGCAGCAGGTAGAAAAGGATCCTGTACGAGAAGGTTATGCTTTTAGCTCATGAGAGCGAGTACGACCGAGATAGGATGCGCTATGGAAGAATGCGACTATTATGGCGATATTTACGTTACTTCGTACTGTGTCACCAATCAGTCGTGAGTTCATTATTTTGCCATAAAGGGCAACAGCTGTAACAACCATGCTGTTGAGAGCTGTTGCAAAGCATTCATTATCATACCTTTTGCTCTTTTCGAATTAGGAAAACATGGGAAAATACGAATAAAAGCTCCCTCTCTTTCACTCTGGAGAAGGATGCAGTGCCTTCCATCCGGTAATAATGCTAACCAGGGCTCAGCGGTGGTGGCGCTTCCAAATGCTAGATGTCGTTTGAGGTGTATGCACAAGGAAACCCCAGATTTCTATAGTGTTCGGAACTCTGAGAAAATATCAACGCTGACTCCCAGTGAAATCGAATTTCAAGTCTGGTGACCTTCGCTAGTGATAAATTATCAGTTTGTTTACAACGCTTAAACAATAAGCCACTAAATTTGGTGCGTACTTCGCGTACAAAGAAAAGTTGTAAGTGTCTTTCTAATTTGGGTTGCTCTCTGGCAACTTAGGAGCATCCTGATGCGCGAGACTAAATAAACTCATACTTTTCCATTTCCTGAGATCTTCCGAAATATTTTACATAGTTCTATTGTTGAGTTCACGTTTTACCTAAAGTACTTACCTAATACAAGTTTCGTCTCCTCTGCTTCGCTAGGGCCTTTTTCTCCTTTTGCTATTTTATCTCTAATTTTGCTTGTCTTCTCTACTTTCATCCAATCGTCACTCACGCTACTCGCATTTCCTAGACACAAAAACATGGTATGTCGGAATTTCTCGCGATGTCAGGAAGAAATTCATTTTTGACACGTTCCAAATACCACCTCGTGCTGGGCCCTGGTGTTATCTGGTAGAATAAGTGAGCTCGACAAGCTCTTAGTTTTGAATAATTATGATAAGCGATGTCCATCAGCACTTCCTACATCGTAACAATCAAATGGTCTGATTATGCATCTAAGGCCACGGGCAGACTTCACGCGATTTGATCGTCGCGACTGAATCGCGACGAGACAATTGTTACAACATCATTCCATGCCGATCAACTTGCATTTGGATTGTGATACTTTTCCAGCCCGAAATTTTTGAATGTGAAATGAAAATGAATGGAAATGTCGGCGATTGAGTCCCGACGATCAAATCGCGTGAAGTCTAAAAGACAATAAGTCTTATTATTAATATCATAGAAGCTGCACTTGTGAGCGTTTGTGTTTGCTTGCTAGAGGGGTGCCCTGATTTTTGAGCAGTGTGCATTACGTCTCCTTTTGCGCTTTCCGGAAACAAACGCTGATGAACTCAGCTTAATCTTGAAATTCTCTGTGCAAAATTCACTTGACTTTTCACAGTTTTTTGAGGTTCCCATTGAAAATTTGTTGATTAGAATATACAAAAAGTTGCATTTACATTGTAGTAATACAGAGTATCCTAAAAGTAAGTACACACTTTTCAGTTGTTCATTTCCTTCTTTTTACACATTCTTTTGCTTAGTTTCAAGTAATATTCAGTATGGCAGGCTTCAACTTAGATTTACATTAGTGAGCAAATCGCAAATCTCTCTTCGTTGCTGTAGGATTACGGTAAGAACTTTGGGACTGTGGAATATCAGTGGCTATATTTTGCTCTAGAATGAACACACTAAGCTGTAAACTGTTCACTGGGCTAAATTGAGTCCGCTGATTAATATGAAAAATCGCACTTCACCGTAGAGCTTTTTTCTAACTTATGCCAAGTAAACGGCGACACCGGCTTTTCAAAAATGTGACTAAAGCAAGTGAAACTCTTCAAAAACTCGTAAAAAGTTGCCTAATGATAAGAACATGTCTGAAAACACTACTCCAAGGCGTTCTAGAATTTTTCTCAAAAGGCCTAATTCATGATGGCGCTGTATGCTGGAAATTCTTACCGTAATCCTACAGTAACGAAGAACGATGGGTGATTCGCTCTATATTGTGAATTAAAGCTGAAGCCTGCTCTGCCAAACTGTACTTACAATAGAACTAAGCGGAAGAGAGCTATTGACGATCAAAAGTGTGTTATTACTTTTGGGACACCCTGTATATGGCTCATCATAGTGAATTGAGGCCCACCATTTTAAGACATTAATGCACTTTGTTCAATTGTGGATAAGTTGAATTTCTTCAAGATCCTTTTTCTATCAGATTTATAATATTTTCTTATTTGTTGCCTCACAAGCAAGAAAGCTGATTTTGATTACCATTTGGATCTTATTTTTAAGAGATTAACAGAGATAATTTAGGCCACTTGGTGCCGGCGATTACATCAGTGGACCAGGTACGGAGAAGTAAACAGTAGGTCTCATAATTTGAAACGAGTATCGCTGTAGAATGAAGGAAGAACACGAAAAACGGCGATAGCACATGATTCAGTCGAATTCACTTCAGAAAGACTTGAAACGAGATTAGATAGAATCTTTTCCTTTTACAAACTTCTGTCAAAAACGCTCTATATCATTTGATCTGAGTAAGCTTAAACAGGATTACAGAATTAGGCCTTATCTACAAGGTGGGTATATGGGCGTCATATTCTTGTTTGCAAAACTTTTCGTACAAACGAAGTTCTGTTAGATTATTACATATTGAAAATGGAGACATCTTTATGTGTTACTCCTACAAAATTGGGCGTCTAGACATAAATATAGACTTCAGTAGCTTATTTTGAAATTGGTGCGTCAAAAAATGCCATGTGAAGGTTGTTCCACTGCTAATCCGTGGCGACAATCGGTCACGACTTCAATAAATTTCAAGACTTGAGATTTTGAAGAGCATTGTCTGAGGAATAGACAGTGCCGTAACCGCTGTAATTCCTCCCAAAATAAAATACGACACTATAAACATGGTGCTGTGACCGAGCCGCAGTGCCTTCTAACGATAAGTGGAAGCAGGCTCCGGACTTCCGTTCGCATTAGAAGACTCGCTTCAAGCGATTTTTATACATCTTAATATAGAAATTGTCTATTCACTACAGGAATGTTGGCCGTGATGATAGAAATTTCCAAAAAATTACATATTGTAACGCATAAACTTACCGATCACCCTGTATACTCGCTCTAGGAAAAGTTCCGTGATCTTTTTGCTAGTATGAGCTCGTCAAAAAACTACAGATATAAATAACAAAATAGATGATAATCAAACTAAATATAAGAAGACAAACGTGTGTAAGCCCTTTTTGTTAAGTTTGATGATTACTCATCCCAAAAGCTTGGTAAAGGAACTGATTGGGCTAGATATGGACACAATGAGGGAACGGAGCCAGGATTACAATTTCTCGAGCTTGTGCACAAAAACGAGCTTGTCACTTCCAGAAAAAAATACTTATCTGCTCCATTTTTAATGCGATCAATCCGAAGGTAATGAAGACTTGAAGCTTCGTCATTTTTAGATTGTGAGCTCCTCAAAGAATGCAAGAAATCTACCAAAATAACATGTCAGATAAGAAATTTTAGGATCATAGATGGGTGACCGAGGGTAGTTTCTAAACAGCATAGCCTTGCCAGCAAATGATTGCAACGTCCCGGTGTGCATCCTTTTCTTGTTTTCCCGCTTTGATCAAACAATTAACGAAGAATTTTGATCCGATCCAGCTCATATAGGTTGAACCGAAAGTTCTTTCGCGTTGGTTTGAAAGGTTCATAACTGCTTCAACTGCTAACTGCTTGTGAATGTGTGCTTACAAAATATTTCGTCAGAAAGGGAAATTTTTCCACTTTCAAATAACATCTTCGCGCTTGACAACAAGGGACTTCAAGGATAAAAATTCGAATAGGAGAACCAGTTTAACTCTCTGTTTTCGAAAATCAATTGCCAAAAGTTTGAAAGCTGCAAAAAAATTGAGGAACGTGTTTGTTACAGTCTACATAAGCTGCTCTTTCGAACAGCACTAACAATATACTTGTACTTTGAGCTTTTCTATAAATGGTTATGATTTTCGAGAAAAATGCCAAAATAATCAATTTTTTTGATTTTTATGCTAGCTCAAAAAGCATGACTTTCGCAGTGACTTTTAACCAAAACGAACTCTACAAGTCACAAAAAGCGGCAAAAAAACGTATAATAATACTCCGATTTTCCAAGCAAGTTCGAAATATTTTCGACCAAACGTAGAACGTCAAAAATAAATTTTTTTTGCATTTTCGCAATTTCCTCAAAAATCATAATTTTTCGCAGAAACGCTCGGTCAGACAAACTTGGCACTGTTGGAAAGAGCGGCTTTTGTAAACTGCAGGAAACATGTTTTCAAATTTTTCTGCAGCGTTCCAGATTTTTGAGGTTTGGTTTCGATGGTCGGGAGTAGGAGTGGTTCCCCTAATCGAATATCTATTTCTGGACCCCACGTCGTCAAAGCGCCTCGAAAACGTTGTTCAAAGAATGAAATTTTTTGTAAGCAATACGTTCACCAGGGAGCAGTTACGGATTTTTCAATACCGAGGCTACAAAACTTTTGGTTCAACCTAGCATACTGACCTTCATGATAGTACAAACATGCTCTTTTGTGAATCGCTGCTTTTTTCCACCAAAGCAGTAAAACTTGAGTATGAAAAATAAGAGCATTCGGCACACACCAGACACATGCACCCGAGCCGCTCCGTACAGTAGTGTTATATTCGAAATCTTGAATGCAGCGACTCGGCAGAATGACAACTTCGGGGTATTTATCGTCCTGGGTTCCTCTGGACGAACTAAGTCCAATACTGTGCTTCGCAGCTTCAAAAGATATCAAAAAGACGCTTTTCCAGACGTGAAAATTCTATTTGGGTGGACTGCGTATCGTGCTCTCTAGCGATTGGCTTGTGGGTGGTACTGTACCTACCGTACCCACGAGCCAATCGCGCTCGAGGGCAGACATACGCCATCCGTCCAAATAGCACCTTTCACTTCTGGAAAAGCGGGTTTTTGATATCTTTTGAAGCTGCAAAGCACAGTCTTGGACTTAGCTCATCCAGGGGGACCGAGAACGTTGAATGTCCTAAAGTTGTCATTCTGCCGAGCCACTGCCTTTAACTCAAACGTGTACTTGCCTTCTTTATTAGTAAGGAGATTAGCAGGACGAATGTATGGCCAATTCGAATGGTTATGACAGAAGGTCGTAACAAGAAAGTTCTTCTGGCAAAAGCTCCAGAGGTCAGTGCGCTTCATTCACTATAAAATCACCAATAAAATCATAAATACCACACCTTCCTACCTTTGCAAGTATGGATAAGTTGAGCGTCTTTTCGTAATTCGGCCTTATATTCGGTACGATGCGAATGCCAGAGTGGTTTCTCGCATCTAGTACAGTCTAGTATAGTCTAGTATAGCCTTAACAGGGAATGTCAATATGTAAAATCCGGACTTGATCTACACGTCTTCGAAATTGTTCAGTTATGTGGTAGAAGAGGCCACGGTTCTGTGAACAATAGTGCGACCGAAATCTATAACATTATTATGTCAACTAATATTCCTGGCACTGAAGAAAAGCCATTGAGAAAAAATAATGTGATTCCAAAATGTTAGGAGTGGTGGTAATTTGATTGCAACCATCACTTTTACCAAGTTTTCATTATAGTAACCAGCAGTTTCAGATCATCCTCATAAAACAACGTCTAAGTAAGAAACCGGTCGGAGTCAATAGAAGTGGGCATATTTTTACTTGAGTCTAGATTTAGCAAAGCGTTGCCATCGAAGGGGATAGAAGCTCCAAGCACAAGCTTGGCGCCTTCATTGCACTTCAGCAAATTCGTAATTCGCTCCTTATAACCCTTATCTAAGCTTGATCAAGTTTTCCTCATAGTAACTTTTGTAAAGATCTTTCTCATTCTAAAGTATGAAACCATCGGCTTATATTAGGTTGTAACAGAATTAATGCAGGTTTTGAATTCCAACCGCAATAATTCATACACTTCTCATTTCTAAGTAGGTTGCAAAATACCATTCGATAGAGTAAAGCAAGCTCTACAAGAAGGCTAGCTTGCTTTAGCAACAGCTCTGATCCACTACGAAGTTCCAGCCAAAAACTAAAAAGATTCAACTGTCCGAAAAATTGAGAAAAATCGTAACTCAGTTCATAAAAAACACACATAAATTCTAACTTGCTCACGTAAACACTATTCAGATAAGACATCTATATACGCCTTTGCCGTATTTTTTTCTCTGTTAGAAATCAAGAAAACGGACTTTTTCGTGCATTTGCCAAAGTGTTGCTGTGCCATTCCCACATAAGTAGTTGTATAATACAAATCTGTAAAAGTACAAACGTAAGTTTTCAGCTCTCTATGAGCTTTAGTTCTCGAGAAATTTGAATTTTAGATTGGAACACATGACTAGCGAAAACTGTATTTGCTATTTTTTGAGAACTAAAGCTTGTAGAGAGCTGGAAATTCACGATTATACTTCTACAGGTTTGTAGTATACAACTACTTATGTGGGAACGGCACAGCATCACTTTGGCAAACGCACGAAAATTTCCGTTTTCTTGATTTCTTACAGAGAAAAAAATACGGCAAAGGCATGTACAGATGTCTTATGTGAATAGTGCTTACGTGAGCAAGTTAGAATTTTTGTAGGTTTTTTATGAACTGAGTTACAGTTTTTCTCAATTTTTTGGACAGTTGAATCTTTTTAGTTTTTGGCTCGAAACTCGTGGTGAATCAGAGTTGTTACTAAAGCAAGAGTGCCACCTTGTAGAGATTGCCTTGCTCTATCGAATGGTATTTTGCAACCTACAGTTGTGACAGTGGAATGTGAAAAATTTCGGCGAATTCGCCGAATTCGCCAAATTCGCCGATGTCGCCGAATTCGCCGATGTCGCCGAATTCGCCGATGTCGCCGATGTCGCCGACTTTGCGTTTTTTCGTCATAACTCCCTTCGTTCTGAATGGATTTCAAATTTGAAGGCAGATTTGGATTCAGCCCGCCGAGACGAATCTTTTTATTTATTGAACTGCTGTAATCGGCTCGGTCACGGTAAGTGCATGGTAGGAATCCCTTGCATCCTGTGGTGGTGTTTTCTAGAGTGTATATTTCAGCGCATAATGTAGGCAAAGGTTTAAGAAAAAGACTGTTTGATGGAAGAGTTTCTGCTGAGTGTTTTCAGCAGAAAACCACATCCTTTTTTGAAGTGGAAAAAAGAGAAAGGAGTACGTGAACTTAGTAAATATACATGGACCACTTACCGTCAAACAAACATAACTATACAGTAACACTATGACTAGCAAAACAATTATAATCTTTGTAATCAGCATGTCTTGTTGCTTATGTGAGCAAAGTGACACACCGCATGACTATGATATTCTGCTTCCAACAAAACTTCATTTTTTTTCTGCAGACGCCTCTTTGCAACGCTGTGGGCCAGCCCCTTTCACACATAAAAGATTCCGGTAAGGCGAATCGGAAAGAGTTGTTTCCGTAGATAATCCAGCGGTGAAAAGTAGACGGAGACATGCGTGAAAAGCGCGAAAAGAGATGGTGAATTCTGCAAAAATCACGCGCCTTTAAATTCTACTCGCCATAACTTCCTCCAGAATAAGTATGTTCTGAATCCAAAAACGGTGCTGTGCTCAGCTCATCAAGGCGAATTTTTTGGTGTACAGCATGTCCTTGATATCTCGATTTCGGTATTCTTTAATCTTTCTGCGGACGTTTCTTCTCGAAGGTGTATAGCAGCGAGCATTGTCCCGAGTAGATTCCAGCAGGGACCTTCTGATAGCACTTTTTCTGTAGATTATGATGCGCTAAACAGTAGCCGCAATTTTCTTTTCAAAGGAAAAAGATGGGCTGGTGAATTGTGGAAAAGTCTTGTCGTCCCAAGTTCTACTCGCCATAGCCATAGAATATGATGCTCTCTTGCTTAGCAGATGTGATTATCGTAATCAGCAGGTCGGATAACCACTATGAGCAAGTTTTCCGAGATTTTTGGGTTATTTCATTTTTTCTCGTTTTACGCTCTGGAAGCTCGTCGATGGATTTTGGTCAAAATGTTGATGCTCTTGAATTGTAAGGAAACTTCGCTTATAGAGCTTTTCGAACACGCTCTTTACGAAAATCGTGGTCTCTGAGGATTACAGTGTCTTTTTGGAGAGATACGGTGAGGTAACTGTAACTGCACCACGAAAGTGCGTAACTTTGCCCGCACTTCTCGCGTATCTCTCAGAGACCTTGCTTGCTTACTTTTCTAAGTCAAAGTGACTAGGAACTGAGCTATCGAATGGTGCATGAACCGGGCTCCAGTCTATAAAATTCGCCGAGTTGCAAGCCTACGAAAACACGTCCTCATGAAATTTGCACAAAATGTAAAGATCGCGTACTTTGTTGAAATTCCACCGTGAGTAGTTGCATGACTAATTGCAAATGTTATGTTCACCCCGCCCGCGTTTTATACAATGTTTTATACAATACAAAAAATGAAGTTTTGTTGGAAGCAGAATATCATAGTCATGCGGTGTGTCACTTTGCTCACATAAGCAACAAGACATGCTGATTACAAAGATTATACTTGTTTTGCTAGTCATAGTGTTACTGTATAGTTATTTTTGTTTGACGGTAAGTGGTACATGTATACAGGGTTGGGGGAAAGTCTTTGAACACGGTATTTGATGAAGCTAGGCAAGATGATCTGAAATCAATAGGTAATGTTTACGTAACTGTCTGCTATACAAAACTGGCATTACAATTCAAAGATTCTTCTTCTGACGCCAGCACAAGCTCAAAAACGCTTGGGAACGCTGTCCATGGTGGCACGGAGGTCCTCCACGTCGATTTCTTCCAACGCCTTCTGAAGAGCAAGTCGCAGAGACTCCACTGTCTTGCGTGGGTGAGCGCAGGCTTTGGCCTAAAGAAATGACCAGACGCTATAGTCGACGGAGTTCAGATTGGGCGAAAACGGAGGCCATTCCGCAAGAGTAGTGAAGACCTTAAAGTTGCTTTGGAGCCATGCTTGAACAACCTTTGCTGTGTGCGCAGGTGCGGTACCTGCTGGAAGCACCAATTTTTTCCTGCAAAATGGATATTGGTCTAGGGCATCAGTTGATTTTTCAGGATGCTATCCAACTATGTAGCAGCGTCCACCTTGATTCCCTGAAGCGCTAAGAACAGAGGCATCTTGTCGCCGGAAGTGATCGCCACCCAAACCATCGGAAAAGCCGGATGAGGCACTTTAGAGAGTCAACCCCTGCTGATGGCTTCTCAGAGCGATTAGGATACGATTCTGGTGTTTTTGGAGATTGAAAACCTGTTTTACGGTAAAAATTTTATCGTCGGAAAAAAGTGTCGTTCTGTTGCCTTGGAGAGACGTTCAAGCAGTCGATGGATCTACGCAGTCAATACAGCTTCGTGTCCTCCAAAAAAGCATGAAAGTTTAGCATCCTGAAAAGCTTCATCGCAAGGACCTCTTTGACAATGCCGGAGACTGTCCTGCCAGAGTTGGACAGCTCTCAAGCCAGTTCAATCAAGCTTCGCCGAGGATTGCGACGAAGGCGTTGGCGAACGATTTTCAGAATCTCGTTAGTGTTCGCAGTAGCCAATTTAGCACTCAAGCAGCAGTCCTGGGTGCTTTTCATATACTGGAAACGACGCAGAGTGAAAAAGACCCGGATCTGTGTAATTTGGGGAGCCCGCGCAATTTGCGGTCGGCCATCCTCTCCTTGTGCATCTTCTCCGCCAACGCTCGCTCCGTTCCATAAGGCACATCTCTAATAGGAAAAAAGCTGATAGTCCAGATTTCTGAGGGCTTGTACTCAAAGGTTCAATAAGCAAACACATAAAATTAGCGTACAAAAATTTGTGGAAAAGCCGAACATACAGGGACATCAAAAATTGTTCAAAGACTTTCCCCCAACCCTGTATTTACTAAGATCACGTACTCCTTTCTCTTTTTTCCACTACAAAAAAGGATGTGATTTTCTGCTGGAAACACTCAGCAGAAACTCTTCCATCAAACACTCTTTTTCTTAAACCTTTGCCTACATTATGCGCCGAAATACACACTCTAGAAAACACCACCACATGATGCAAGGGATTCCTACCATGCACTTACCGTGACCGAGCCGATTACAGCAGTTCAATAAATGAAAAGATTCGTCTCGGCGAGCTGAATCCAAATCTGCCTTCAAATTTGAAATCCATTCAGAACGAAGGGAGTTATGACGAAAAGACGCAAAGTCGGCGACATCGGCGACATCGGCGAATTTGGCGAATTCGGCGAATTCGGCGAATTCGCCGAAATTTTTCACATTCCACTGTCACAACAGTACTTAGAAATGAGAAGTGTATGACTTATTGCGGTTGGAATTCAAAACCTGCATTAATTCTGTTACAACCTAATAATTTAAATGAAAAAGTGGTGTAATGTTTATTTTGAATGATTATATTTTGGTTTCACGCATGCGTCTCATATAATGAAGCTTAACTTCATTGCTTTAAATATTGAAACAATGAAATTATCCTATTGGATACTTTGTTTGGTTCAAAATGAAACAATCAGGAAACATTAATATCTGTTACTTGCTTGTTTACTTGTTGAAGATGATCATGGTTACCACTAAATGCAACCATGAGTGAGCAAAACACCTTTATGATAGTTTCGACCAAATTACCACTCCGGAGTATTTTCTTTTGAGGATTACAATTCAGTCAAAGGGACCACGAAAAGAGAAACTTTACTTGACATATGTCATAAATGATTCTGAATACCCCATTGATACTCTTATAATTATTTTTAGGTAAGTATTTTTAGCCAGTGCGTGTTTTCAGTATACGTTGTTCACGTAGAAAAAGGATTCAGAAAACCATCAACGTACCATTTTCTGAATGTCTTTTTTTTAGCATGTGCATTAGACGAAGATGAAGTGCAGGACGATATTCTTCCAACAATAAGAAAATCTAGAGGACAGCTACAGAATGGATTGCAACAAAACGGTCATGATGGAGAAATGTTACCAGCTGCTCCGGACATGCAAACGTTGGTTAGTTAAGTAACACTTCTTTAGCCCGATTTCGTAAGCAACGTTACGGCAAGAACGGAGCCAGATGCGTTTTGAATATTCTTCAGTTCAAGTAATTTTCATCTTGTTCACGTCAAAGCCAGGGTAGAAGTACAATACACCGCAACAAAACAAATTCAGACTTGGAGTTGCGAACTGGAAAAGCAAGCTAGAATTGCCTTGACCAGTGGTGAACAGTGTCCACAAGGTGATCATGTCGCGGAATTCGAAAACGCTTTAAAAGATAAAGCAGGAATCTTCCATGGGTAAGTCTCTGCCGCAACTTTTGTACAGCTTGAGGATTCTATACGCTAACAATGAAGAAAAAGAGGAAAGAAAAATTCAGAGCTTACATTTCTTGCTTCGAGTTTGTGTTCATGTAAGAAATCAACCATCACGTCGCACTTCACAATTACGTTGTATATGAAGGTTCGGCCATACTTCGAGGTCTGCTGTCAGCGGCATCGACGCTTCTTATTGTCGTTGTTACATGATGAAATTAGCATTTGTGCAGCCTCATTTTCGACACGATCTTACTGGATGCTAACCGCGCACCGGTGCAGATGCTCACGAAATGATGGGCGTTACCCCAGCTGTAATCACGGTAACATTAATCAGCGCGAATAAGTATCACAGTAGAAGCAGCGGCGATGTTTGACGGTAAAACTAAGAAATCTGGTCGTTTGAGGAAACTTACGGTACAGTAGTTTCTTAGTCGTTTATCAAGATACCCGTCACCTCACTCATGCTTGCATAATGATGAGTTTGGAACTCGCGAAAAAGGCGCAAAGCTTAACATCACCAATAATGTAAACACTGCTCATTCTCAAGGCTTTGACCATACATTACCAAGTCACACGTGTTACTAGTGTTACTCGTGTTACCACTGTTGCTCTGTTACCAGTGTTACTCATGTTACCGGTGTTGCCAGTGCTACCTGTTAAAATGAGGCTGTATTGATGATCATTTCATTACTCACAACCAGCAGCAATAAAAGCGGTAACACTAGTATTACCAGTAACATCAGTTGCACGAGTAACACTGGCAGCAAGGGTAACACTGGCAATGTATGGTCAAAGCCTAAAGCCTCTCTATGTAGGATCGGTGACTTTGAGAAGAGGAAATCTCTTTCGCAGAAGAATAAATGCAATTCTGAATTATTCATCAAACTCATCACGCTTGGATGCTAAAACGGACAAAGACCACCATGAACTACTGAAAGCATATTAACATAAGTTGGCGATTGGAGACCCGATGTATATCACTAGACGCGTCTCTGAACGCTGAATCCAAATCGCTTTCCTTTTCTGCAGCACAGCTCTCCGAAAGAAGTTATGAGCGTTTGAGTGTCCAAATCTGTCATGTTCTAAGTAACATAAAATCAGTGAAAAGCTCTAGAAAAATACCTGAAAGTGGGTAATCGATTTTATATCAAGTACTAGCTGCGGTTCCCGGTCCCGCCCGGGCCGAGAGTCCAGAATGGCCCAGCATAAGGTGTGCTCCAAGATGTATACTTACCAGTCCTCCACTTTCTTCAGTTCATATCTTCTGTTCTCTCCTGCTTCACCTCCATGTCAGTTTTAGCGCTCGTGTAGTATCCGTGGTGAATAGTCTTCTTTCTTGACCGGCTCGCTTCATGACACCGCATGCTCCTCACCGCAAAATGTAAATGATCTCTACCACCCCTTACTACTCACTTGGAGAAATGAATGGTATAGCCTTCATTTTCCTAGATTTTAGTAAACAAAATCAATAAATCGATAGAAGGACCCAGCGAATTGTCGAAAAAAGTAGCCTATCTTTTGCGCCGTGGCTTGTTTATAGGGAAACAAAATTCAGCCTCTTTAGTTCACATACAAAGGAGTCTATAAGCCACAAACATCCTAACAAACACGGTACAGTGTTTGAGTTTTATATATATATAGATATTGACTACAAGGAAGGAATACATTTGATGGAAATCCGCATAAGAGTTTTTAAAGAGCTTTTTGCTGATTTTATGCCAGTTTAGAGCATGACAAATTTGAAAATTCAAAACACATTACTTCTTCCGGAAAGTGGTTCCGCAAAAAAGGAAAGCAGATTTGGAATCAGCGTTCATAAAGCGTTTACTGGTATACATCTTGTTGTCATTCGCCAACTTTTTTTGGCGAATGACAACAAGAATAACAACTCCTTCCGTTGTTAGATTTAAACTTGAGAAATCGACGATTCAGTCCACTAACCCTTTTTGGAACCGTATTCGCACGAGAATCACTTTTCAATCAATTTTTGAGCGAAAGTGCCTAGTTCGCACTTATATGTATATGCCATCCAAATTTATGATTTTGAGAAAAGCCTAGATTGCGCCTCACTTATGAAGGCCAGAAGCCTCGTAGACTCGTTCGACGCTCAATTTTGAAGATCCGCGTATCGAACTAGCTTCTCCTCGAGCATGGTAATTACGTATTGGTATTTTAATCTACATGCAAGATTTTGGATCGAGACGTTTTTATCTTGGAAATTCGACTTTAAGAAAAGATTGAAGTGCGCATCGAATATATGTTCGAGTGATTTGACATTGTTCAATGGGACTTCATAACCGTTCAAAATCCGAACAAAACTTTCGGACAACCTAGTGCTAGGAAGGCAAAGTTCTTAGCGCTTATAAAAGCCTTACTTTGACGCAAACCCGAATAATCAATGCGAATGTTGCTCTCTGTAGATCCCCATAATACAGAGAGCGACAGTTTTTAGCTGGTTCTAATGACAAAGATAATTCGCAACCAGTAATTAGATACGTGTTTTTGCAAAACACTTCAGGGAAGGGAGAAAAATTACTGCTAATGCTGAATGTGTTACGCTAAATTTCTTCACCTTCACATGTCTTCAGGGAATACGTGGACAGCAACGACAAAATAAAAACCATCACCGAAGTACTGGCTTCGTTTTTGAGCAACATAAACAATGAACCACTCACAGATGTCAGCAACGGGATCAAGTACAGTGGAGAACCGAATTTGGGAGAATATGCTAATGTGAGTTCAGCAACTGATTCGATCAGGGTTAGGATGAAGGACTCAACCGAAAATTTCTGTTTGCAGCTCGTAAGGGCGAATACGACCGAGATAGGCTGCTGGAAAACAGAATGTCCAGAACCAGACAGTAGCTATGTGTACTTTTCTGTGTACTGTATCACCAACTCGCCGTAAGTTTATTCTGTTTTGACAAGTCACAAACTAATCTCCATGCAAAATATAATAAAGTGCGGTTCATAATTATACGAACACCCAAAATTTTGTAAGTTTTCGGACTTTTTGGGATAAACTCAAAAAGCCGTTGGTATCACGCGAAAGAGCACAACCGAAAACGGTATATGACCCTTAAGAATGGAAATTGATGTCAATCTTAGGAGTGTTTTTGCGCCTAATGCAAATTTTTAGCGGTTCATAATTATACGAACACCTCAAACAAAGGTCCATTTTTCATTCAGGATTGCGATCATTTGAGTCCAAATTTTTTGTAGAGTTACAGTAATAAAGCCTGAAGCATCCGCTACACACTGAACCCAGTGAAGTTAAAAAAAAGGACCGTTATTTTTTCAGAAGGCTCTAAATGCTTTTGGAGTGATTGCGCTCCAAAAACATCCGTTCTTCTGTAGTTTACGCGCTCTAATTAGCTTCTACCAAAGCTATGAGATAAAATAAGCCTCCTTTGATAGGTATTTTGTTTGGCGCTCCGAAAATCTTTGCATTTTTGTGCCGTTTTTCAACCAAGTTTCAAACTTACCTTAGAGTTAGCACGATTTCGAGCCTCAAAACTCGCTTCTAAAGCCGTACAATGAAGTAAGCATATAGTATGTAGAAGTTCACAAGACTGTATGTTTGGCTAGAAAAAACCAGCAGCGTTGAGCGTTTGTTTTAACCACGCAGACGTCATTTCACCAAAAACATTGTTTATACTATTGCAATCACACCTCTATTTGGTTTGCAGCTCCGCAGCCTCAAGATCAGTCCTACAAAAAACCCAAAAACTTTGGCACAGAAACATCATCATGCAAGCAATGCAGCTGCTTCATATCAAATGTTTGCGCAAGACAGAAGCTGAGTTTTGAGGCTCGAAATCGTGCTGACTGTGTGCTAAGGTTGGAACTTGATTGAAAAACGGCACAAAAATGCAAAGATTTTCGGAGCGCCAAACAAAATACCTATCAAAGGAGGCTTATTTTATCTCATAGCTTTGTTAGAAGCTAATTAGAGCGCGTAAACCACAGAAGAACGGATGTTTTTGGGGCGCAACCACTCCAAAACATTTAGAGCCTTCGGAAAAAAATAACGGTCCTTTTTTTGAACTTCACTGGGTTCAATGTGTAGCAGGTATTTCAGACTTATTACTATAACTCTACAAAAAATTTCGACTCAAATGATTGCAATCCTGAATGAAAAATTGACCTTTGTTTGAGGTGTTCGTATAATTATGAACCGCAAAAAATTCGCATTAGGCGCAAAAACACTCCTAAGATTGACATCAATTTCCATTCTTAAGGGTCATATACCGTTTTCGGTTGTGCTCTTTCGCGTGATACCAACGGCTTTTTGAGTTTATCCCAAAAAGTCCGAAAACTTACAAAATTTTGGGTGTTCGTATAATTATGAACCGCACTTTATAATATTGCTGTACATATTAGTGTGAAGAGAGCTATCAGTTGGAGTCGAAAATGAAGGGCGGAATAGAAATGCTCGGTGCGCTGAGAAAGTGATTCTGCCTCGTTTGAAAGAACTTTTGAGCCGAGGGTGGTGTGCTGAACATATCAGAAATTCGCTGGATAACGACAAAAATAATGAGACTACGCTGCAATGATGAGACTACTTTACAGAGTATTGCGTATTATACGATGAAAGAGTTTTGATATGGAGTTCTGGAATATAAGCGAGGTCAAGATTCATGTTTTGCTAAAAGTGTGTTTTATTCAAAAAATATGCTGGCGTTTGGCGCTGGCGCTTTGCTGGCGCTTTTTAACACTAGCATTTCGACGACTTTATAAAAAATTATCAGGCGATAAAGCGCATGCTAGCCTACTATATAAAAATTTGAAAATGATGAGATTGTGCTTTGAAAACCCCTGGTGTTGGAAGAAATTCCCGAACAAAAGATCAAGAGAATTACGGTCTTTTGTATGAACGAGTTTGAGAATGGTAATGGTAGTTTATTGTTTCCGGATCAAAACCCAGTCAATAGCAGAAGAACTACATACTCTGAGATTTTTTCTAGTGCATAAAGGAAAGGATATTATCAACTTTGAATCCGCAGGATGCCGAGAAAATATTGGAGCTACTCATGCTCGCGTGATAAGCTACATAGACACCAAAAAATGTGGGCTATCTTTCTCCAAAGCAAAGTAAGCTGTGTACATCTTATCAACATTATCAACAACGCTCACATTTTTTGAAAAAAAGACGAAAGAATGTATGGACATGTATGGACATGTACGGACATGTATGGACATGTACGGACATGTACGGACATGTCCATACATGTCCATACATTCGCGTCTTTTTTTCAAAAAATGTGAGCGGTACTGTAGGGCATCGTCGAACATGCACATGAATCTTAATTTACACAAAGAAGCCAAGATCCAAGACCATTGGACAGTCCTGGAAATCTAGTTTAAGAATCTGATATTTACTCTTCACTTGCTTCCTTTTCAGTTCAAAGATTGATAGTAAATAGACAATTTGAGAAGTTTTGCCTTTTTTATCTGATGCTAACTCTAAAGGAAAGTAATAACTGACGTTCAAAGCTTTATAATATAAAACTCCAAATGCGGAAACACCCCAGTATTGCATTTAAAACTTCTGCGTAAAAATTTCAGGGTGTATGTCAAGAGGTGCGATTTTTATTGCCAGTTAGACACAATTAGCGCATTTTCAGTACTTACGATGTTCTAGGAGCAATTCAAATTGTTGATAAGATGTACCTGATTGTTGTATAGGTTGCTCAATCTTATTGTTTTGGAACAGATCTTAAAGATTGGTGCGGGAGGGGGGGGGGGGTCAAAAACCTGTAAAAATGCAATTTACAGCGTTCTCGTGAATATAACCAAACGCCATCAGAGTTAGTCGGCTGGTAGCTTCAGATACTAAATGAGCTAAAGCACCTTGTCTGTTATATTTGAAAGACTTTCTTACCTCTAGATTGGGTTGTTAGCTAGTGAACTCTGGAGAAGTCCCCCTTCTTGACCGTCTCCCAAAATTTTACGAGCAGTCAAGAAATCGCCATCGATCCTGTACTCAAGTGTGTGAGTCATTCCGAATTTTTTTACTTGAAAATAATGCCAAGAAGTAGCTGAATAATATTTCTGCCCTTGCCTATGATAATCTCCACCGGTGGGTGGTTTTGGCTGAGGGTGGTTTTGGCTGATAGAATGGCTGAAGAAAGTTTTAACCCAATAATTTCAGCTGGTGAGACAGTTTCTGTGTGAGATAAATCCGCATATATTAGGTTGGCACGAAAGTTCTTGCGTAATTCAAACAAAATTCAATAACTTTTCAAAAACTAGGCCTAAATTCACAGTCTTGTATGCTAAAAATATTAGAACTCTCACGCTCCATGATGGTAGTTCAAGCAAAACATTCCATGAGTTAGCCATCGAGAAATAAGCTCTCAAACATGGTGCTTCAAATTTTGCGATTTTGAGTTTAGTGGCAGAAAATCGCAGAAGGCCGCCAGCTAGCCGGAAAAAATCTGTAGAATTTACTTACACAGCAAAAGTCCATACGTTATTTTAGCAGGCTTTGATCTCGCATGGAAACGCGAAAACAAAAAATTTGTGAAATTTCCTGTTTCACAGGACAAATCCCCTTATCGCTCTAATTTTTCCACAGAAACACAGTTTGCAATCAGAAATTAGACATAGTGCCTATTTAGAGCCTTGCGACGTTTTCTCGATTGTAAAAAAGTGTTTTCGCCGGGAAACTGCAGACATGAGGGGATTTTTTTCCGCAAAATGACATATTTCACAAATTTTTAGTTTTTACTTCACCTGCAAGATCAAAGCCTTTCAAAGTAAAATATGGACCTTTGTTGTGTAAGTAAATTCTACAGGTTTTTTTTTTCGGCTAGCTAGCGGCACTCTGCGATTTTCTGGCACCAAACTCAAAATCGCAAAATTTGAAGCCCCATATTCGAGAGCTTCGTTCTCGATGGCTAGCTCACGGAATCTTTTGCTTGAACATCTATCATGAAGCTTAAGGCTTCTAATATTTTTAGCATACAAAGTTGTGAATTCAGGTTTAGTCTTTGAAAAGTTATTGAATTTTATTTGAATTACGCAAAAACTTTCGTGCCAACCTAATATCAGCTCATTATTTTTTCGTCCATCATAGAGTTTTGCGTAAGTTAATGCTTGCATTACCAGAAAATTCTTTTAGCCATGGCGTCATGGGATCTTATGATAGTGAAAATTTATTTCAGCATAGAAAAGAACAAAACACTTTGAGGATCACATATAAGCTATAAAGACTTCCAGAGAGCAATATGTGAGGTACAAGACAAAACCAAATGGACAGATCTTTGTAACGATAGCGGCAGTCAAAGATTTCGCATCTCACTGGCTCGTTTTATTTCAATACCATAAATTGTGCCTGAAATTTTTTTCCATCTGTCATAGTGGCTTGGCTTTGCATGCTCAACCCCAACCACCTTTTCCTAACAGCGCACAGCAATGATATCTATTTAAGAAAAGGGTTTGATAAAAAAAACAAAACATGTTTCCAGGTGACTCCGAAAGTACGACCTCGATATCCAAGAAGTTTTCAGGCCACTTGAAAGTGGAGAAGACATATATGAACCCGAGACGACTACGACTACAACTACTACAACGACGACTACAACAACTACGACTACAACCACCACAACGACTACCACAACGACAACGCCAACTACGACAACTACCACAACCACTCTGCCACCGACGACAACTATCACAAGCACTCTGCCACCTACGACGACTATCACAAGCACTCTGCCGACTACGACAAGTAGCACAACTACGCTAAAGCCGACAACTAGCACATCAACTACACCAACGACAAAACGCCCTTCGTCTACTTCGCCAAGCACTAAAAAATCGACAACACCGTGTCCAACTTATCCTCACACGACATCTAATACCACGACACCTAAAACCACTAAACCAAAGCGCTCGACCACGCCCTGTCCAACATATCCAACAACGAAAAAACCAAAGACCACGACTCCTTGTCCTACACTGCCACCGGGTGCAAGAGCTAAGAGGGAAGCTCGAGCAAATTACACTTCTTTCATAAAGGAAAAAGCGTTGTTCCCCAAGGCTGAACTAGGTATGTTTGATGGCATTTTCTCTGCCTTCACATTATCAAGCTGGAAGATGTAGCACGTTTTGCAGCGGATATGTTTCAAAACAACTTTTAACAAAAAGAAAATTCTAGAAATGGAACCTATTGCATTAGCAATTTTTGGCTTTCAGTAACTACTATATTGTCATTGTGATATATTTCATCGAGAAAGATTTTATAACTCAAAGATCACCAATTTCTCTTGCAATTTTTGTTTGGAAAGTTCAAAAGACTACGTCTGGTTACCTTACCTTGCCTTTGGTTTCATAGCACTTGGCAAACATCATGCAAATTTCCAGGAATTTTTGGCTGTTCCGCATGGATTTAAAGCGAAAAGAATGAGAAGAAAGAATTCCTAGATTCATTGTCGTGCTTTGAAAAAAACGCAATTTTTAGACGAACTCACTTTTTCGAATACGAAAGAATATTTGAAAGTCTAGTAGGAAAGAATTTCTAAGTGTTTAGAATTTTGTAGAAAATTTGCTTCTTTATAGTAAGTTCTCAATGAAGATATGTAAAAAAAATGTGTACCGATTCTAACACACCCTAAAAGTAGCAACTCGTCTGTGAGTCAGTTTGCTTTTCTTAATCTGTTGCATTGAAATATTGCCGAAGTACAGATACTATGAGAAATTGTAGACTTCTTAATTTCGCATAGCACAGATATTCGAGTACCTTATATTTTAGATGACAAAGGAATTTGTCCTGACAATTTTATGACGAACACTCTTAGAACTCGCTTCCTTGAAATGCATAATTACCGCAGGTAATTTGTCTTTTTAGAATGTTCATGCGTCTAGTATAATGTTGAGATAACTCTGACCTGCTTTCAGAGCTTTGCTTGCACTTGGGAAGCTCAGAACGCGTGCTGGGAAGTATCTATCGCAAGCTCAGAATATGTTCAAATTAGTAAGATGATGAGCATCGACCCAGAATTTGAGAAACTGTTGATTTTATAGAGATACGATTGCAAATTAGAAGAGAAAGCAGCGCTTTACGCTGGTCAATGTCCAGAGAGAAGATCCCGCGCAAGTACCAGGAAAGGAAATGGAGAGAATTTCTTGAGAATCAGAGATGATATCGGCGACTTTGTGGATGCTGTTAACGCTGTACGGAACTTCAAAAAGCCTGAATATTCTACAAATTCTTAAATTTGCAGACCGTTAGCATATGGTGGAGAGGTGCGAGAAGATTTGGTGCACTCAATCCTCCAATTTTAATAAATTCGCATCATTTCGGTCCTCGCTTGTTCTCCTTCTCCCAAGTAAGACAATCAACAGCAGGAAAAATCTCCTACCAAGCAATTTGCTGGAAGTATATGTTTCTTCTATCTTTGCAGATGGCTTGGGCGACGACACGGTATATCGGCTGTTCTATTGTCAAATGTTCATCGTCGTATGTATCAGTTTGCAGATATCAACCAAGGTAAAGGAAAATACTATCTATTTGGGACTTTCTAAAAATATTCTATAGATGGAAAGTAATTTTCATCTTTTAACATCTAAAATTTGTCCTTCAAATCTAGTCTCTTGAGTGCTCTGCTGTAAAGGATAATTGTGTTTTGACCTAATTTGCCTTAAAAAGTCTAAAGCATTTACTCCATCCACTCAAAGGTGAGGTATGAAGCTACCTGTCAGCGTTTGGAAACTTTCATCTCACAATGAAACAAATAAATCTGTAAGTTTACGCGCAAAGTAAATTAATGCCATTGGACTATGTTGGTGTCGAATGCTACCAAAGTGTGACTCTTGCCATGAAAATAATTATTAGTCAAAATTAATCAAAATACAGAGAATTTGCGCCCATTCAAGATAAATTCTGTTTATTTCAAAGAATTTCAGAAAAATCTGGCTTGCCAGTGATTTAGACGTAAAAATGATGCTTAAACGTTAAAAAATTATGATAAAAAGCTTTTAAAGAAGAGATCAGAAGATTTCAACTAATTCAAAATCTAGGTTCAAGTTAACTGCACACACAGTGACCGCCAAGAAGGTTGACTACGTAGCTGCCTTCCTTTTCTCATCGCTTATTTTCAGATGAAAAAGAAAGGTGATAAAAGTATCGTACATATATGAGAGGATAGAGCTTTTCAAGAGCTAAAATGCGCACACCACATTCTCCAGAGACCATGGACTTCAAATCAAAAATCTTTTACCAAAAAAGCTCAAAATAGTGATGTCACAGTGCAACAATTCTTCGAACACAAAATTATTTTTGCGTTTTTCTGAAGCGAAAACACAAGTGATTCGAACAGATAAGCTTACTACAATACAGCACTCATCAAGGACTTTAATCTGTTTACGGTTATATCCTGAAAAAACATAAGATTCAATTGCATTTTGCATTTTTTAGGAATTAACTTCTATTTCCCTCGTTCACATGGAAATTGATGTAAAACGCGTCCACTTTATCAGGAGAACCTTGTTATGACGTTTTGAGTAGGTTTCTGTGATAAAATTTGCTTTGAAGCAAGGATTCAAAAGTTAACTCTTGAAATGCAAAATTAAATTTAAGCTTGCGTTTTTCTAGGAAGTAACCATAAATAACAGATTGAATCCCTGATAAACCCAAGTAGTAGTATGCCTACTTCTTCAAATTACTTATTTCCGCTTCAAAAAAGAGCCCAAAAGAACATTTTCGCGTTCGAAGAATCGTTGATCGCAGCGTTGTGACGGGTTTTGAGACGTGCTTTTTGTAAAAAAAAGTATTGAATTTTTTCAATGCATGCTTTCCAAAAGCGTGATTTGGGGATTGTAGCTCTTGAAGAAGCTCTATCACATGGAGTCTAATCATTTCTTCATCTTTGTTTTCCGTTTAGAAAGGAACGGTGAAGAAAAGGAAGACCGCTTGTCCGCAACTTTTTGGCGGTCACTGTATGTTGATCAAATACTTTTAAGCTAAACTATTTTTTATATCTGCCTTAGCAAAATCTTTTGAGGGGTAATATGCTCAAAGAACTCGTCTACAAGCCAGGAAATACTTGCACTGATTGCTTCGTTGGAAGTAAATGCATTGAAGAGCTGGGACTCTGTGACTAGAAAAGAAGGAAGAATTTATCGATTTTCACGGTTTTTGTTTTATTTTTACAATTTGTTCAATTTTTCTGTCGGCAGGAATTATTGAAATAAACATTGATACAGCTCATGCAAGGCTTTGTTTCAACATCAAACTTTATTTTTTCCTTGGGAATAAATAAAGCGAAAGATTCGAGTGAAACAGAAACTTGTGATATGCAATCCTCTTTCTGTACTGTTGATAATAAAAAAACAAGAATTCTGATGATGATGAAATGAAACCGATCCCTCAAAAGCGCTAGCTGAAAAATTATGTTCTCTTTGTATGTACAGCTGAGATCAAAAACTGAGTCGGTGAACTCTTCATATTTGACAAAATAACCGTGTTTGTCCGTAGACGCACCTGTGTCCATAAAAAGATTTAGTCACCAGCTTGATCAGGTTATAAAATGCTTTCCCCGTCGTGCTAATCATCGTTGTAGATTTTTCACCTTGGCGTCCAACCTTCACTGGACTTTAGATATTTCTGCATTTGTAAATCTCATCCAGCACCGGAGTACAGAAAATCACTCTGAGAGCCAAGCCACGTGTACCGATTTTAATGATTTTACAATTTCCTCTAAGAATAGCCAGTATTCTCTTATTTACCATAACTGCCTTGGAAAGCAGAGATCTTTCAGCACGAGGTAGAAGCTCTCTATTACAGGTACTACTGTCACATTTTTATGATTTTTCACATTGTACTCAGAATTTCAATAGCTTCCTCACAAATCTACAATGTTCATGAAATAGAGTGTTTAGAGCCTTCGGGGTAAAAACCTAGAAGAACGCCAAGCGAGGTTGCGAAATCTTGGCGCGCTTTTCTTCAGAAATGCAACAATCACTATGAAGGAAAACCCAAGCATTCTTGCTTCTCTTCCAGATGTACGTTTTTGGAAGGAAGAGGCCATATATTAAGAAGGGCTTTTTTTCTTATTTGAATAGCATTTTTACAAGATTCTGCCAGGTCTTGCCACAAGACGAATCTAGCGATTCTATAAGTGATCCAAGTATAGAAGAGATAAATCAGAGGGAAGGAATAGCTGAGTATCTCTTTCAAGGCGACATTAATCTCACTGAGTAAGTCAGAATTCGACATAATAGGCTGTCCCATATTTTTTTTCCATTTCAACATTGAAATCCGTATTTCTTGAAGCGAGAGAACCAACGATACAAATACATAGCCGTTTTTAAAGCTTAGAGTATAGTCATGTGTGGGAGAAACCCACGACTTTTGGGGTCGGAGTTTGTCATTTTATTCCAATCAATTTTTTGATTTATAGGAAAGAAGAGATATGAGAAAATTTCATAAGAAACACTTTGTCTGCTAGCCCGCAAAGCTGTCTGATTTATCAAGTATTTCTTGGGTGAAGGTATTTATAGTATCTATAAGATGTTTTGGGACGGAGATACGTTGACTCAAAATTAACTCGGTTTTTTAGCACTATCAGAATTTGGCTATAAAGTTTGAATAAGATTTAGGCGGATGCTTGGGACCATCTAGATTGCGACCATCTAGACTATCCATCTTAGACCTCCTCTATCGTATTGGTAATCCATGCTGCACTTAATAAAGGAAAGAAACACGAAGATTTTTCCGTTTTAAAGACTTCGTGGAGTGGAAAAAATTATGGGGCACCCTATACAATTTTTAGTGCAGCGATGAAATCTGAACAGAGATCGATCTCAAATTTACAGTGAACAGCTTGAATGGATTGAAAACAGCATTAAATCAGAAAATAACACTCGGGAAAAGCGACAAGTGGACAGCGGTGCTCGCTTATGGACCGATAATCGCGTTTTCTATTTCTTTGACATCAGCATAGGTGCAGTGAAACTCAAGCCTCAACTTCCCTTACCTACATTTTCCTATATTTTTCTTCCAGATGCTCGAATGAAAAGAATCGTGAAGGAAGCCTTGAAGTACTTGCAAGAGAGGACATGTCTTGAGTTTACGGAAAGTACAACTGCTCCGAATAGGATAAGGGTTTTTAGCGGGGCCGGATGCTTCGCAACGATTGGCATGGCTGGAGGAGTTCAAGAATTGTCCCTGGGCAAAGGATGCGAAGCTGTAAGTTACTTTTGGGATTTTTTGAGAATTTTCAAATTGATTTCTAGGTTGGTATTGCCGCACACGAATTCGCTCATGCACTTGGAATTTGGCACATGCAAATGAGGGATGATCGCGATAATTTCGTTCAAGTTGATTTGTCTGCTGTGCCGGTAAGAAAGAAAATATGAGAGAGTATTAAATTGTTTTAACACATTCACAACCAGGTCATTTTCTCGCTTTCTGTCGTTGACCAGAGCGAGTAATGCAAAATCGAGTTTGAAACCCACCTGTGGGTAGTATGACCCACAGTTTTGGTTTTCTAACTAAACTAGCGTTTGCAAACATACGCAAAAATCTTATGAAGATTTGTCATAAACTTATTAAACTTGGAATTTTCAAAAATGTCTGACCCACCAGTGGGTCATATTGTCATGATTGTGTTTAAAAGGTGCAAGCTACACTTTATGATAATGCAAGAGAATAGATGTCGAACAAATTAGGTATGTGCCAAATAAACATAATCAATGGTGCTAAGTGACCTTAAAACCCTCTCGTGCCTTCACTTTTTTTACAAAACTTTTAAAACAACGGTATTGCCTGAGCATTAATTTTGATATAAGCAAGTTTACCTTTGATTTTCAGTTGAGCATGTTGCACAATTACATCAAATTGCCTTCGAGTCGTATCATCAACTACACACCCTACGAATATGGCAGTTATATGCACTATGATGCCAGATCGTAAGAATGAACTTTTTGGTTTTTTTTGTAGTTATAGAGTTGGAAACATTGACATTGTACTACAGACGTGCAGCTACATGATTAGAGAATTTTGTAAGGAAAAAAATTTCTTATAACTCAATTTCTTTTAGGTTTGCCACCACCGGAAACTCGCTTATTCCACGTGATCCAAATTATCTTCGCACCATAGGGTCACGCGTAATCTCCTTCTATGATATAAAGACTATAAACGATCATTACAAATGTCGTTGTAAGACCGGGCATTACTTCTCACTATAGTTTTGATAGTGTAAACTCAGCTCGATGCGCTTCTGGATCTGCGAAATGCTTCAACGGTGGTGAGCCGAACCCACGAAACTGTGCCGTCTGTAACTGTCCAGCTGGATATGGTGGATCTTTCTGCAATCAGCGAGTTAGTTCTATATTTTTGGTTAAAGGCAGCGTCCAGGCAGATTTGGACCTTTGGGGCTTTTACGTGGAAAGTACTTTTGGGGCCCTAACTAAGGCACTGCCCAAGCGGCAGCTCAGGTAGTGCTGTAATGGCTGAGATATTCCCCTCGAAACTGAACCCCGCGACCGTGTTTCGCATGGATTCACGGCGCAAAGCGTAGATCCTGGCGCGAAACTGCCATGAATCCATGCGAATACGTTCGGGGGGGGGGGCCAGTTTTGAGGGGAATATCTCAGCCATTAGAGCACTACCTGAGCTGCCGCTTGGGCAGTGCCTTAGTTAGGGCCCCAAAAGTACTTTCCACGTAAAAGCCCCTTAGGTCCAGATCTGCCTGGACGCTGCCTTTAACATAAAAAGATCTTGCTTAGCCACCTGGATGCGGTGAATACCTCAAAGCAAGTGAAAAATGGCAGAAGAAGGAGTTCACCTTCGGCGATTCAAAAGTTCATATCATTAGGGAGACATACACGGAATGTAACCATTGGATACGGGTCAGGCTGGACTCAGAAGTAAAGAAGAAAATCTTTTTAAGAACTGGATTTCAGGCCCCACCAGGAAAACGTATCCAAATCCGAATCAAATCATTGCAAAACTCTCAATGTCACAATGGTTGTACGCTCAATGCTATCGAACCCCGAATCAGAGAAGACAAGACGGTCACGAATCCTAGGTATCTCAGAACATTCTAGAAAGAAAATTTTTTTGGCAGTTCGTAGCATTATGCTTTTCATCCAATGACATTTACAGGATTTGCTGCACCGATTCGTTGAATAGAACTCTCAATAGCCACTTGAATCCTACGCCAATAATATCGTACAGTAGATTCCTTACATCAACATTTGCTTTTCTTTACAGGTTCATATAATACGTTGTGTATTTCATGTACATATTTCAGGAATTATTCGTTTGATTATGAGAAAAAGTACCTTAATAAAGTTTCGAGATTATTGCGAGAGTGCAAATTAGCTCATGCTTGCTCAAGAAGCGATCCGACATCTGGTTTTTATGAAATTTCTATTTCAAAAACTGCTGATTAAAGGTAGTGTGACGTATTCAACAAAATTTTTTATTGGTTGTGTAGGCCAAAATGGAAATACGGCCCAATCCTACTCCGCTACTACTTTCAAATATACAATTTTGCACTTTATGGTCATCACACACTAGAGCGCATTCAGTGTGAAGTCAGCATTTTTACTTGTGTCTTCTAAGACTTACAACGCAAACCAAATATTAGCGCCTACTGTATTTCGTAATAATGCAGCCACATGGAATGATGCTTACTGAAAATAGAGATGGATGCGATAGAGGGAGCGGGGTCCCATCCAGGTGAATGGTCTCGGTGGTGGTCTCGGCTATTTTGGACCGAGATGAAAGGAGTAACGACTTTGAGGTGAATGCTGACGTAAGCTCACATGTCGAGTAGGACTGGGGGTAAAAAGAATGAGAATAAGGGGTACAGAAGCGTAATATGAAGAATTACTCAATGTTTTGATTTGAAAAGTCATCGAATGGGGCCTATTTAATTCAGGGAAGCTCTATATCTCATCAGTCAACATACCATTCGAAAGCTTGGGACATATAAAATTGAAGTAGACCGTCTCTTCTTTTCCATCTCGCTTGTAAATTCACATAAAAGGAATTTTAACTAGCCGCAACATCCGAAGATTTTATACGAACACTTTGCGCTCCATTTCTGAAAGGAAGAGAAAAGCTTGAGTAATTTCTTGACAAAAACACATGTTTTCAGCTAAAATGTCATTTATCTCTGAGTAGAGGGGAGCTGGAGAAAAAGAGACGGTCTACGTCGAATTCCCGTTTCGTGTGCTTTTCAATGATATATAAGTTGTTAAGTGAAAAAACTCATGGTTTTTAAAAAATGAGGTGGAGATATTTACTATTAGCTTGCTCCACCCCGCTCCTGGCTTGTATGGGTCGCAGGAGCAAAATTTTTTTGGATTGGGAAAGCTTTGTGCACCAACACTTTGTATATCATTCGATAGCTAAGAACATGAGGAATCGATGCAAACCATCTCTTTTTTCCTAGCTTTTCTGTAAAGTTAGATATGAACAATTCTATATAGCTACAATATCAGCCAATTCTGGGTTATTATTTCATGCTTTATTTTTGAAACCAAAAAGGTCTTTTTCGAAGTTTCAGATATGATTCGAAACTCGTTCATTTGCTATTATTCTCTCTAGCCAAAGGAGATATGGTACGATTCTTGCCAGTAAACATGCATTCATCATTGCCAGTCCAGATTTTTTACTTTTGCTGCACTCTTTCTTGCGACAATGTGTATTCATTGATACAATATTGGTTATTCAAAGTGTCAGACATCCTTTCAGTTTCTGACTGTGTTTCGTTATCAACGCCACTTTGAGTACGACAAGAGGCTTCAAACATTCGTATTTTTCAAGAAAAACGCTGTTGCTTCGATGCTCTCTTGCAGTTTTGATGTCTGAGGAGAAGAGCAGTTGGCTTTTCTTTTCCGGACAAGAAGAGCCACTATAGCTGTTTTAATCTGCCGTTATGCCTTGACTCTGTTCTCAACTTCAGGTGAATGGAGTCAGCCAGATGCTGGCTTTACAGTGGAGGGTCAGAGAAATTTCTCCACCTATCGCATCTGTGCTAAAGAGTAAAAATTGACTATTTTAATATTTAATGCTGGAAACTGGATGGGCAATGAGGTCAACTCTCATAAAAGTTGCAAGAACTCGTTATAACTCCAGCCTTAAACACAGCAGATTACAAGATTAAGACAGAGTAGATAGCTGTTAACATTTCTTCAATTGAAAGTTGAGCTTTTGTTAGTTACATTTACCAGCATCTCAACCAATTTTATGAAATTATTATAAGAAGGTAAAATGTTGCTTTCTGTTAATGCTAATGCTGATCAAGTGCCTCTAGAACAAAGACAGTTGCAACTTTGAAGTTCCATACTTTTTCGAATCGTATCTCATTTATATGAAGAGATCCGTAAACTCACTTTTTGTTACATTTTTGTTTCATCTCTCGTTCAGCTGCCAAAAGAGCTATGGGAGACGGTCAAGAGGCGCGATTCCTTTGGCTGTCAGCAACTCAAAACTCCAGTTTAGTGCTACGCGAGTCTTCAAAAAATACCACATGAAGTGCATTGGGTTACTATCTGTCTAAGATAACCAACTGCTGAGTTTGCTGGCTTTTGCTAGAAAACGGACCAAAATATACAGAAATTTATTTTTAAATGCATTCATGGGTTTTTGACCTTCAAAATTGCTTTTTTGAGTTGATTCCAAGGTAGCAAGATTGAGGAAGCCATGCAGCTATCTAATATATCCTCAAAAATTTACATAATTTTAGAATGTTATAAAACACTTATTATGTGCTATTTGGTGTCCATCTGGCAATAAAAATCGCGCCTCTTGACATACTCCCAAATTAAGAGAGCTTTTGAAAATTCAATACAATCCAATACAATTTATTACAATTAAAATTTCTCTACTATGTCATCGCTTTCGATTTTATAATTGTGAGATCATATGACTTTCTCTACCAATCATAAAAGGTCGCTCGGCATTGTGTTTGACAACCGATATGATAATTATCGCTTCACATACCCTTTGGTAAAAAGCCATTTTCGATAGCTCGTCTATATGTGAAAAATGTTAGGAATATACAAGGGGGACCGTTGCTGTGAGTGAATTGAATGGCTTAAGTTCTAGAATAAACAGCCTTCAGCACCCCTTCTCTCAAAAATAGAGTTGAATTTACTTTCGATTTCTGACTCACTTTCTAACAAAAAAACCTGATAAGGAAAGACCGTATGACACAGTTTGCCTTGTGATGATGTTTTGATGACACTCAGCTTTCGTAAATACGAGAAATATAAACGTCTAGGGATTGGGTTCATACATAGGAAATACTCGTACAGCTTGGATAGGGATCTTTTCAAACGGTGTAGTCACATTTTTAAGGTACTTAAAAAGTGGGTGTTACGGTATAAAGCATGTTGTTACGGTAAACCTGGCATATTCTGAAAGAACATTACGGCGAAGGGAAAATTTGTTTCAAAATTAGCGAATCCTACTATATTGTGAAAGTTTTGGAGCTGTTCGAACTGTCTGAGCCAAAATATGGTCCAACCTAGGGGTCAGCAAAAGTGTTTGTGGGGAGGGAGATATTAATGATCAAAAAGTACGTACTCACATTTGGGACACCCCTTACACCAACAAAGTATTATATTTAGACTGGCTGAGTTCGAGTGCATTTCCGCACAATAGATTTGTGTGTATAGCAAAAAATAGCAAAAAATATGCGAATAAGTTTTATTAGAATCTCACATATATACAACAATGTCGTAGATCGCGAAAATCATAATCTCATGATGTTGTCGTGAAGATTCGCTAGAATAGCGATAGAAGGAATGTTGGTTGAGCACAAGTGACGCCAGTCCATCCCGGATTGCAAACACATGTGAAGGATTTCACACTTCCCAGACATATTCCGTTGCCAGTACAGTGGAGCAGTGGATTGCATAGGGGTTCTGAAAGATGATTACGGTTGCTGGAAGGTTCATGGATTCATATATGGAAAACTTACCAAGCTCACAACGAATTCCTAAAAATCCTGGGGCACAAAGGCAGAGTGGTGCAAGTTTGGAGCCAATGCAGATTCCGTTGCCAGAGCAGTCTTTCGTTTCACAGATGGCTCCTTCAAATCCAGGCAGGATACCTATAATTATATGAGTACTTAAAAATTTGGGTCACTTGGAAAGTAGTCGAATAAGATTATCCAGCTGCTGGTTACCCACCTACTCTATTCTGACACCTTTCCCCAGTGTAGCCAAGATTACAAACGCATGTGAATTGTTTCTTTGTTCCAATGCACAATCCAGCCGAGTTACAGTCAGATGCTTCACATATTGTCCCAGAGACTGAAATTAATTGCGACTCCCCCACACATGGCTTACCACGATTTTTTTTTCTTACTGGTCTCGCATCTATCTCCAGAATAGCCGAGATGGCAGGCACATGTAAATTTGTCCTTGGTGCCAAGGCAGAGACCATTCGAATTGCAGTCACGAGGGTTACATAGTGCGAATGGTGCTGAAATAAACTTTACCTGTATGTTGAGAGGTCTTGAAGGCATCGTCCAACCAAACTAAGGGATTCAAAGTTTTTATGTTATATAATAGCGGAGCCCCTGATTAAGTGATCGAGTCTCGCTGCAAAAGATGATTCGGAGCGAGAAAAACATTTCCAAAGATGGAGGCTGCGCTTTTCAACTTGTATGGTCCGAAGATAAAAATAAAATCCTGGTTTGTATCTGGGAAAATCACGTATTCAAAACTATCAAATTTTCGATACATTTTTATCTACCCGGAGCCCGCTTTCAATTACTCCAACTACGCACCTTGATGGGCGGAGCTTCCTGGGCCACTTCTAACTTTTAGGGCAATTTTCTCGCTTTGAAATTCATCTTTTGCAGCCGGATTTGAGCAGTTACTTAGTTAAGACGCCGCTAATGCGCAGCATCAAAATCTTTTCTCATTTGGATGTACGGTGCCTCCAAATGTTTTTTCGAAGCTTACTATTTTCACAGCGGCTTCCAGTATATCCAAGCTGACAAGCACAAACGAATGAGTTCTTTGTGCCAAGGCAAATTCCCTTATTGTTACAATCACTAGGCGAACAGGTTGTGATTGGTGCAGTTGGATCAGTATTCGCTAAAAATATATAATCAAATTAGAATTCGGAATGACTCTCTAAAAAATAAACTCACTCAAGCTGCTAATGCTATCCTCACAATACTTTCCAATACGTCCAAGATTACATAAACAAAATGGCAGATCTCTAGTACCGACACATACACCTTGATTATTGCAATCTGCAGGTGTACAGGCGTTGGACATAGTGGGAAGAAGAACGTTTGATCCTGATTTGCGAAAAAAGTATTTATGCAGGTACCTCAGGTTATGACTTCTTACCGCCGATTCCGTGCTGACACATTTCGCCTTCGTATCCTAAGAAACAGGCACAGCTATAATCTTCTTTCGTGCCTGTCATTATCAACACTCAGGAAACGTAAACATGATAATCGTAAAGTTACAGTAATCTTTACCTATACATAGTCCATTACCGTTGCAACCTATTCTGGAATCGCACAGCTCCTGAGAGTCAAGGTCTGAAAATTTCTGTGGTTTAGATAATTTTTTTTTCATTTGCTTTTCCATTCATTAGTGACAAGTTGCGATTGGAGGGTTTGAGTTGAATTTCTCAGACTGTTTAAATTGCTTGAAAATAGAATCTCTATGCTCAAGTTTCCTAGAATTGAATTGGTTGAACCGAAAATTCGTTCGCACTGTTTTTGCTAATCATAACTTCTTTCCATCTTAATTATATTACCACCAATAAACTTTTGAGAGTAAACGCTCGTACTTTCTGAAGGTTTCCCTTAGGTTTTCGATTGAGAGCTGGCTGCAAAGTCAAAAATGAAAGAGAGATCATTCAAGCCTCGGTGGTTCTAAGCAAACCCATTCAGATTCCGACTATGGAATAAGAATCCAAAATAATTTCTATTTTAGGTTACAAGGTCATTTTGGTTTTAGTTTTAAGAGTATTCATTAACAGCCATATTATTGAGATAGAAGGAAGTTACGACTTTTAGAAAGGTGCTATCAATTTCGTCTCTTATAGCTTTCTAAGTTACAACTCTGTCAAACCCCAGATTTATCTCATCCGAGATGTAATGCAGCCTCTTCGTTTGCTTAAAGCAGCGTCCAAGCAAATCTGGACCTAAGGGATTTTAGTAAGTAATTTTGGGGCCCTAATAAGGCACGGCCAAGCGGCAGCGCAAATGATCCACTAATTGAGTCATTTGCGCTGCCGCTTGGCTGAGGTATACGCCTCCGTGGACACCAGTTATCGGACGACTTGCATCGTGTCTGCATGTCTTCGCGCAAGGACCCACGCAAAAGATGTGTTGTGCCATGAATATATGCGTAAAGCGATCCTGGGGTCCAGTTTGCAGGCAAATAGCTCCGCCGTTAGAACACCATCTGAGCTGCCGTTTGGGCACTGTCCTAGTTAGGGTCCCAAAAATTACTGTCCACTTGAGGTGTCATATGTCTAAATTTGCCTGGGCGCTGCCTTTATGTCTGAATACCAAAATTTGAGAACTCAAAAAGTTTAGATTCGAACTCTCCTTATTTGTTCAAATGCATGAACAATTATTATAATCATTCAGAGTATTTTACCATTTTCACATCGCGTTCCATAGTGTCCCATATCACACATACAAACAGGCATTGTCCTCAATCCAACGCAGTTTCCGCGATTGTTACAATCTTCTCTAGTGCACATCTGCAAAAAAAAATTCTTGCCTTAACAACTTTGTCTAACGAAGCAAAGGGAATTCTAAAGGAAATTACACTGACAGCGTGTTTTCCGTTGTGCTATGAAAAGTTCAGGACTATACAGCTTCAGGGAGGAAAGCGTGCCCCAACTGCATAAGGATAACCATAACTCTTAATTACTGTCACTCATTTAGTATCTTTGCCGCTTTTGAGCCAAAACTTTCTAATCTCAAAGCAAGTTTTGATTCTCGAAAGGAAGCTCGAAACGTTTTGCTGCCGTTAATAGCACGAGAAGCTTGCATAGCTGTGACAAGAACTGATTTGCGCATCAGGCCTTGCATAAGTTGTTAATAGTTGGTCGAAATTTGGGAATAATGATGTTATTATTCTTGGCGTTTGATACCAGCTCTGCAAGAAAAAGGGCTTGAAATTGCCAAAAAGGCAGTACTCTGTGCGATAATAATTTTCTTGTTACACAAAAAAGCTCAGGTCGCTGCGTTTTCGAATGTAGTAGTTTGATGCATTATTCTTGCACCAAAACTTTCATTGTTCTTGTAGTTTCTCCAGCTTTGATAAAATCTTCACACAGAAAGAGAGAAAATCTTATGCTTTCCGCATGTGCTTGAATCAAAATTTTTTGTTGGTACATATATGGCAACGATACAAGCTGATTAGGAGAGACACCTGTAAAGTGACTTTTGGAGCTTCGGTGGCTAAATTTTCTTGATCTTCTACTATGTTCTAAACTAATTTTTGGTCTTCGTTATATGACCTGGACTTTTAGATTATAAGAGGTCGGTAGTGATTGGATGCCACGAATAGTTGTGAATTTCAACTTTCAACTCGACTTATTGATTTTCTTTCAAATTTTTCATCTACAATAAAATAAAATACTATACTAAAAAGCTCATGGTGTAAACTGAACAATTTGTTTGAGCAAAAATGACTTTTTTATTTGATGCAAAAAATGTGCAAACCCAATGGATAGCTTTGAGTTTGTAGAAAATCTCCAACAGCGTAAATACTTGATAAAGCATTAGCCTGTTCTTAATATGGTATATGAAAGTTCCGACTATGGTGTTATGCTCATGAGATTTTTTTGATTGAAGTACAACAAATGGAGGGGCTATGGTTTTGAGGACTTCAGGTTTTGACTGAAACTTTTCTAATGTGTCCTACCTGTGAAGATGCAACACTGATGAGTGCGCTGAGCAGCAAGATGAAAAAGAACATTTTCACTGCTAACTCACATTCGAAACATCCTTAAATACTGACGGTGGCGTCAGCTTGCACTGCTGCGTAAACGGTCAGCTTGTTCATCCAGTGTTGAATAAATACCAAAAAGGCTACGTCGAGGCTATGTTTGCCTGAGTTGGCTCACAGTGTTTTTATCGTAAAAATTCGCCGTCATGGACAACGAGTCATGAAGTCAAAATTCAAAAAACAGCATTTGGTTAGCCGAGGGCGACTGGGAAATCGTGCGAAGCACGAGGGACAAGAAATTTCAGTAACACGTGTTCGGGAAAGAATTCTATTGCTCAGATATTGTCAACTCCACATTTCACTTTTCCGATGCTTAATTTCAGAGATTATACATTTTATCTGGATCTAACAGTTATTCTGTGTCTTTTTACTGCATCACTTTTTTTAAAGCCATCGTTGCGTTTGTTTTGAATGATGAGACAACTATATATGCATAATAGTAGTTGTTACAAAAAATTTTTCATAGCAGAGGATAAGAAAGAGGAAAAAACTTTTCTGTACGAAGGGGACGAATGGCAGCCACCTAGACCTGGTTTGATAGTTTCATTCAAAAGGTTTGAAAGGTTTCCAAAGTTTAGCGAGCCTGTCACCGAAATTTTGAAAAGGAACGCCACCAGAAATTATTTTTTGTTCAGACTTGATTGCATTTTTGTAAATAAAAAGTTACTTTAGTCATTCACAATTGAAAAGATTAGTTGCACAATCTCATAGTGCATGCATGCAGACAATCTTCTAAGGTTTTACTAATCATTCAAGTCGCTCTTCTCCTCCTCCCCTTCCCGCTACCAACTTAGCGCTTCTCCGTCACGAGGTCACAAGGAATAAGATTGGAATGCTCAAGATAGCGAGAAACTTGGTGATTTGCCAATCATAATGTTTCACGAATACATGGACTTCTAGATATTCCGAGTTTTTCAACAGGGTCCGTACAGGTTGCTTATATGCAAGCCTGATATTGTTTTTGGGACAGAAAGCGAAGGGAATATCGTCTTTGTGGCCGAAAAAACAACTTAATTACGTTTTTTTAGTCGGCATCTCTTTTTTGAAGGGTGGTTCTCAAGTTTAGGGTTTAGGGTCAAAGGGGACTTCATAAAATTTGCGAAAGTCAAGGAGGTTTTAATTTCAGCATTTTTGGAGAGCCAGCTCGTGCCGAGCGCTGTTTTTCAACACCAGGCATTTATGGTCAGTTTCTACATTACCTCGTATTCTGCCAAGTCATGAAGACCCGCTTCATGATGTCGTTTCTCGTTGACATTCGCGAAACTTAAAATTCAGGCTATGGAAATAAATGATGTTTTCCTACTGAAGCCGATGCTGAGAGTTCATGAATGTAAAAATTTTGCAGAGAAAATTTCGATATTTATTTTAAAACGAGAACATGGTCTAATAATATGATCAAAATAAACAGTCTTAACATGGATTTACGAAATTTACAAGCACAGTCCAAGATTGGTATCACAAGAGGTGGTGCATAACGTGCATGTGGTCCCTGGTTTGTAGACATTTTCTTCGACAATATTTCCTCTGAAAAAATCAAATTTTTAGTGCACAACGATGGTCAGATCTAGTAAAACGTTACCTTGGTTGATATCTACACACAGCGACATAATCCGATTCGCATTTGGCGATAGAGCAACCCAGATACCTCGTGGTGGCCCAAGCCATCTTCAAAAAATTTTCTCCAAAGATTTCTGACAACTTTACAATTTAACGCAAGGTCCAGGAGTATCCGGACTATGGGGGAACAAATGTCAAAAAATTTTAGGAGCGGGGAAAACGACGAAATTTTTTGAATGAATAGGTATGGCATTCGTTCTTAGAACTTCTTGGAACTTCGCTCTTCAGCAACCACGCGGGCCTGCAGCCCCGCTCCCCCGGAAATTTTTTGCGAGGCTATTTTGAATCTCTGAATTTTGTGAAGACTATTTTGATTAGTTGCTAGTAAAAACGAGTCATTTACGCAATTTTATAACTAAGGTAGGCTACCCACAATAAATTTTCGAATCACTCTCGGCCCTCTCCCCCTCTTCCCCCCCCCCCCCTCTTCGCTCCACCACTAGTGGAAACAGACAAGGGACTGAACCATTGCCCAAGATGCAGCTTGTAAGGCCTATTCTTTGCCAGTAAATTCAGCTCTATTTTCTCGCGCGGACCGTATATTTTTTCGAAGGGAAGGTGCCAGCGTACAGTAATCTGGGACGCTGATTGGTGCGCGCCGAGAAGATCAAGTCTAGGAAGAAGTTTAGACTTGCATCTTTCAATACTAGGATGATGAGCTGCCGCTTGAGGAATGGCTTAACTGAAGCCAACATGTAGAAAGCCCTTGAGATTTGACTGGACCATGCTTTTGAAAAATTCAAGAAAAAATTTGCGAGTGCTTTCTTAGTGAAACCACCTGGGTAAATGAGACGATTGCTGTGCCGACATGCTTTTCGCGGAAAACAGCTGCCATTCCAATTCCAGAACAATGACGAACCACATTCCACCACCGAGTGACGACCTTGATCGTATGGTTAAAAAGAATTGAAGGGGAAATAAATAAGTTTACCTCTTTGATAGCATCTCTGTACGTCGGAAATCCTTCCGTGATCGGAATCCTGCGGAAGTTCTCGCCTATTCCCGGCCTAGAACTTTGCGCAGATTTAAGACGGGGACATTGCTTAGCGCGTTCTATGGCACCCGCCTCTAGTTCGCAATTATACTCCTAAGGTAGTTATTCCAAACTAATTAGTAGTCAACGGTACAAAAAACTACCAGTTTAAACATATTGCCTGCTGTTGGCAAATAATTCCCGTTATTCTTCTGTATTCGACCGAAGGCAAGTTCGCTCCTAGAAAATCACAAAAATTACTTGCAAATCCTCGCAACATGATAAAGAAAGTGAGTTGCATGCAGCGGCATGATGACAATACTTCAAAAAGATATTTTGGTGGCATTGCAACTTTTCGTAGCGCTAAATCCAAACTTGTTGTTTTGTGCAGTCTGTCCAATTGATAAATTTTCTACCTCTTTCAAGCATACCGAAAGTCTTTTTCTTTTAGATATTTCCAAGATTGCGACTAGAATGCAGCATGGTTGCGACAAAAGTCACATGGCAACAATCTCAGAAAAGAACCTGTGACACACTTAAGAACAGATAACGAGTTTGGTTTTAATTAGTTGATTCAAAACAGGAGGGTAATGGTTTTCAAATCACAACGATTACCACAATCGCAACGGACAATTTCTCAAGGAAAAGTTTTTTTAACGAATTTCTGTTAAAATATGTACGAAGCTTTGACTTTGTTGTATTTAGAGGGTTCGTGAAAGGTTCAGCGTGAAACGCGATGACTCTTTCAAACTCTGGCGAAAATATGGTAAACTTCTTTGATTTTCAACGATTTTACTACATACATAGATCCTGTGAGAGGTCTGCTCCTATCCCTAAAGAAATTACAACGAAAGTACTAAGAATTTTTCCTTTAACTTATTTACACCTTCGATGCTTATGTTGTAAAAATTGACCTTTTAAAAAATCAAGGAGGTTCCATCATTGAAATTCTCGCAAATTATTGCTAGGTGGAGCTGCTCTAGTATCTGCCATTTGCTTACAGATTCTTGAGGTTCGAGTGAGGAGAAAGTGCGAAAATCAATCAGTTAGTAGACAGTAGTGCAATAAACTATGATTTTCATGCAGTAGCTATATTCGCTATTACTGTATCCATTAGAGACCTAAAATGACGAGAAATGAATTTTGTCAGCTTCCGAAGCTGCTCGAGCAGCAATTATTGCCGTGGATTCATTGAAAGCTTACCCTAATTCAAAAACATAGGCTAACCGTGCACAAAGATTAACTGTAAATTTGAGAAAATCCTTTTATAATTAGGTTAGATACCTCGAAAATCTTCGCACAACTTACCTGCGAAAATTGTGCGTGTCCTTGAAGTGCATTCGTAGCTTATCTGTCATTCCCTCATTCGATGGACATGCGGTATTTGTTCCTGAATGTATAACTATTGGGAATTACCCTGTAGACGCAAGCAGTGGCTCTGTACACTCTCCGAATTCGTCAACACGTCACGATAGGACTTTAGCAAGAGTTGCTTGATAGTGCCAAAATGGAGTACAAAAAACGATACTTGCGACACATGTATTAATGCAAACTTCTGTTGCTTTTAAATTGTTCAACTATCTATGAACACTTACCCTCATTTTCGTCAGGTAAAATTGCCTCTGATGCAGAACTTGTGCTTGGCGCCTTCGTTGTGGTGTCGATGTGTTGACGGTCGTCGAGTGCACGGTCACGCACATTTTGGTGGTGGAGTTACATACAGTCCCACTGGGGCAACTGTCACATCCGCCATTTCCTTTCTCGTAAATGGTCTCACCAACCTCAAGAGATCTGGAAATCAAGACCCGTATAAAACTTCATCATCAACTTTTGCTCTTTTAGGATCAATTTCGTATTCAATACATCAAAGGCTTGATGGGGCCTACTCACGAAGTTGCATCTGGGATTTCTAAAGCGTCCGCTTTGCTTTAGAAAAATCACGCTATACTTTCTGTGTTATATACACATTCGCTTCGAGATAGTTTGCAGCTAGCAGTAGCTGAACTACGACGAAAAATCCGGGTAATCGTATGGTTATTACCAGCGTGAAGCAAGAAGACAAAAATCCTTCAGAAACGGCTTCCCCTCGTAAAAGTCCCTAAACTACCCCTCCGCCTCCGCACCCCTCCAGGATCCAAGTTGTGATATGCTGAGGAAGATCAGCCATTACTGGATGGTATTTTTGAAACTGTAGGCTCGATCTTCTTCGATTGCACGACCACACGCGACTTGACGGCAAAGTTTGGATTGGGATAGCTCTCTTTTCAGAGCTATTCACAGTGGTAGAGTGTTTGGCTCCAAATCTCTAAACATATAAAGCAGAAAATCTGTGCGTTTGTATATCTGTGCACATTCCCCATAGTCATAAGGATGAGCAGTGGAGCTCATTTTGCTGGTTCGAGATATGGTAAAAACGATAGGAAGCGAACCCAAGACGTGTTGGAATCAGAAGGAGGGTAAATCTCGCTACATGAGAAATCAAGCACGATGAACTGGCTCCAGAATGGAGTTGGAAGCCAGCTCGTCTTCAATATAGCAAGAAGAGGATTTAAGCTCAATCATAATAAAAAGCGATTTTTGAATAATAAAGGGAAATAAGGCTACAAAAACTCTTTTGAGGGGTTGCGCTTGACCCATTAACTCCATTTCCAAAGAAGCTTTTCTTTCCAAGTTTTATATGACTCGCTAGCACCATCCTCAAAGATTCCACAGTAAGTGTTTGAGCTTGGTTCGACTTGTTTCGGCCTTGAGCTAAAAAATGGATGAAGCACCCAAGGCGATAGACAAGTCGGTTGGAATTTTGGTAGCACTTCTTATTCCATTATTTGAGAGTGATATGAAGCCTGATTTTTAGCATAAACTTGTAAGGACCATTACTTTGTTAGGAGTATAAACCAGTGGCGTATCGAAAGGGGTGGGGCGGGAAGGGGGCGCGCCCCCTCCCCGAGAACGGTGAGAAATTTTTGAAAATTACTAGCATGAGTTATAAAATTCTGCAAATGACTTGCCTGCACTTGCAAATAATTGAAATAATTTTGAAAATTTTTTAAAAATTCATTTTAGCCTTATAAAATTTTTTTCGGGGGCGTGGCTAGCGCCACGCCTACTTTCTCTGAAATTATGGGGTTGTGGGTCCGTGAAAACTTTGAGAAGCGTACCAAAAATTATTTCTGAGTGCGTGGCTAACGCCACGCACCTTCATTGTAAAAAATTTTTGTCCCCCCCCCCCCCCGAGCCGAAATCCTGGGTGCGCCACTGGTATAAACAAGCTGACTTTTTCACTTTCAAAACCAAGATAAAACATCTTTGAAAATCAGCTTTCTACACGTTGAGAGACACTAGACGGTTGGTTTGTAGAGTTCATAGAGGTAATTTAACATGCTGATTACGGATTCACAGAGCAACCTTTCTTGGTGACCTTACAATATGTCAAGTAGACGATGAAGTTGATTAAATGAAACCTTCAATTGTGGAATCAATTTGTATGCTGTTCACGAGCGTTGTTCTTTCAGTACTGCGGCTGCGATATCCACCGGACTTGCGCTTTTCTTCTTCACCTTAATTCTAGTATCTCTACAACTGAACGAATTCGATTATCAATTACGACCCCCTCCCTCAGCCTCACCCCCAATGCGACCCCCAGGTCGGGTAAGCCTGACCCCGCGCTCAACCCGTTATTACTGTTATTACTTGAGCAGAGTGTGGTGAATTATGACCTCTTAACACTTTCATCTCAACTAGCACGTGCCATTGACCTGGAAGAAGTTGCTACTATGCCATTCAAAGACATGGTTAACTCACAAGGAAGCGTTGTTAGTTGAAGTGGCGTTTTTGAATGAGACTTATACTATTTTGAAGAGCATTGCACGGTGGCTTCAATTCTGCTTTCATTATCTGCCAAGCGCCTTTGGACGCCGAATTTGACCGTTTTTGAAACGAAAAATGGATGCAAAATTTAGGTGAAATCAATTGTTACAATCTTTCCAGCGCTTAGACAAAGCAACGGTAAGTATTATATTAGCATATTGAACACAATGTACAGTGTAGTAGATTTCCTCTTAATATAGTGTGCTTGCACAGAAGGTGAAATGCGGTAAAATATACTCGTGAGGAAACAGCTTCGACTGTGACGCCGGCCAATTGCGCGCGCAAAATGCCGGCAGTGCTGGCGCAGCTACCTGTTCATGCGCAAATTTTACCGCATTTCATCTTCTGTGCAAGCACACTATATTAAGCGGAAGATCTAGTCGACTTATCTTACATTGAACTGCTCTAATTCTCGAGACCGGACCATTTGAGCAAATTTTAGCGATTTTCAGTTTTGCGCTCAATTTTTTAAAGCGAAAACGCCCATAATTCGGCGTCCAGAGGCGCCTGGCAAATAATGAAGGTAGATTTAAAATCATTGTACATTACTCTCCAAAGCAATATGGATCTCAGAAAAGGCCACTTCGACTAGACGCGCTTTCTTTGTCAGGTTTCCGCAAAGTATTTCCACTGGCTTATGCCATGCCCACAACATGCCAATTGGTCCTGCCAATCATAAAAACCAGCCACTTGCTTCATACAGTAATGAAAATTTCAAAAATTACGCTGTGCAGAAACGAATCAATGGTAAGCGGTTAGGATACTTGAAATTACATATAGATATCGCTAGATATCGCATATCGCTCATTTGCTCACGAGAGCAATAACCAGCTTTCTCTGAATGCTGTGGCTAACCTATATGTGACTTCACAGCTCGAGGTCTTTTTAATATAAAAAAAACTACTTCAAAAAAGTTGTCTTTTGAAGTACACAATATCAGCTCTTTCCCAAATTTCTTCCTCATAGAAACACGCATAGACGTAGCCAATTTCACGGGGACACGCCTGATTTTCTATTGTTGATCTTTCCAAAAGCGGTTGCAATTTCTAACTCGTATTAAACGACTGACAAGTAAGCGGGAACAGAGGACATGATGAACTTATGTATATCTAACAGATTCGCTTGAATGTAGGGAAAGCAAAACAGGCCTTTGGTTCGTGAGGCAGTATATCGTATACTCCGTATACTCCTGACTACTACACGTTGTGGTTGTGCAACCAACTTCTGTGGTCTCCGGATTTATCAACTGTAAATGAAATTATTTTATATCAACTGGACTTCATACAGTAACAATAACAAACTCACATTCGCATATTCACGTAATGTTTCGACGGAAACTTTCACATCTTCACCAGTGTCAGAAAGCTCCGCATTATCGATAATCACGAGGAAACTGTTTAGAACTTCAGAAATGCTCTTTTGCGGGAATCCTTCGTAAAAGTAATCTCTAAATTTATAACAATGATTCCTTCACAATATGCAATGCACGGTCGCATAATGACGTTATGTAAAACTTAAACGATTACGAGCTGCAGATGGCTTCTTAAGGCTTCATACATACCTGACGATGGAGGTATAGCGGGTGTTGGCGAATCGCTGCTGTCTCCGCTGCTTCTAGCTGCTTGAAGCTGCTGCGCATGGGTGCATTTTAGGTGCAGCAGCAAAGAGTTATCAGCCCTCCCAGTTGATCTAGATTAACGGAGAAATTAATTCATGAATCTCACCGCTGGAATCCATGAATTATGAAATATAGCACACTACTATCACTATAAAGTTTTGTTTGTAATAAGCACGCACACAAATGCTGCATTTACTAAAGAAATTGAGATAGTTTGACAGATGTTAATTTGAATGTCACACATGACCCTTACGTGTGCTTGAGGCAACAATTAAACTAGGTCTATTCCCTGCCGTATTGCATAAGTGGGCGAGCGACATCCACTATCTTCCTTGATAAATATCTGCCTTTAGCTGTTCATCGTACTCTATTCATATTCTATTTTTATTCCAGAGGTCTTGTAGAGTTTACCTCGATTTGTCCACCTATGCATTTGTCCTTTCAACAGTCTCGCAAAATGTCATAGTTCACTTATTGCAACAAATGCTTTGGAAATTCTTTGAAAACACAAAAAAATGGTAAATAGAAGCAAATCCGAGCGAAATCAGCTGATAGCAGCATGAAGCAGCTGAGAAAAGCTCACAAAAAGTGAGCTTCATATCGCGTAGCAGCGAGGAGCAGCAACGAGCAGCTGGGAGCAGCAGGGAGCAGCTAGAAGCAGCGCAGCATCGTTAGCTATAGCGGTTCTGTTTCGCGATGGCTGCAGCAGCTAGGAGCAGCAGCGTCGCTTGGCTGCAATCGATACGCATAAAAAGCGTTCCTGCTAGCAGCGACGCATCGTCAGCTATAGCCACCCATCGTCAGGTATACACGATTCATGACACGCAAAGACTGGGCACCGTTGCGTCCGGCCGAGATAGTCCGTGAACGGGAGAGACAGCAGATGACAAAAGAAACGAAAGAGCGCTCGATTAGAGAGATGCCGATACGTCTGCAATCTTTGCGTGCTACGAATCGCCTATATGTATCAAGCCTAATTGTTACCCTGTTACTCCATATGAGAAAGCTGTTTTATTCCAAACAGTTTTCCATATCAGCATGAAATGGAGCAAACCAACATTTGACATAACCACAGGAGCCTACTTAGAAAATATTTGGCTCTTATCAGAAGGTGCCGGCGCTGGAGCATTCTCCAGACATTGACCATTCAGTTGTTTTGCCGCAGTATTTTCCAGATCACAGCTCCAATACTGAACAGAAATTTAAGTCGGATTTCACACACAGAAACCTTCCTAGCTGAGACCAGGGTCAGGCGTGGCGTTGTGGCACACCTGGGGTGTCGCATTAAGGAATCAGGGAGGGGAAAGGGATCGTTATTGAAGTGACAAAGTTGTTAGCGACAACATGGTAACTAGTAATTGTTAGCGCTAACAGCGATAACTACTCTGCTAGATAACCAAATTCAGGATAAACAAATAAGACTTTTAAGCAGTCTGAATATCAAATGTGTAGAAGTGCAGAATCGTAAATTATTAGTAGTTTGGTTGTCCTCTTTTTCTTGAAACCTCGGCATGTCGTATGATTATGTCGATCTTGTTACGCCAGTACGACGTTTCGTGAAGACTTTATTGATGCGACCTCACGTTTCGTCTTATCGTCGTCTCCAGAGGCCTAGAGTGCTGCGAGATTTAGATCTTATGCTTATTCCACCAAATGCCTTATCACCCTCTGGCTAATTGCGTCCCCTCCGATTTTACAAGAAAAATTCGTATAAAGACGAAGACGAACCAACCTCAGCGCCGCTTCACTGATGGTGCACTGTTGGTACTGTGCAACCCGTTTTGACGTGCCACTAGTGCCAATGAGCTACACTAGGCAGCTTGATATTATGCATAGTAGGGAGGGCGTGCAGGAGTTCCTAGCACCTTTTCTCGCACCAACTTCGCACCAGCATTCGCACCCAGGAGGGTTCTAGCACCTCCGGGTCTCAGGGGTCAGGACCCCCCCCCCCATTGCTCCTCCCATTTACTGATCTCATTGTGAGGCGTGCAAGCAGCGAGAACATATGTAGATTCAGGCATTAAGATAATAAGGGGAAAAATGGAGAAAGAACGGAACATAGATATTATTTTTTCTAATGAGGCGGCTTGGAAACTTCTGCTATGCCATCCTTTAGAAGCATATGAACTTTAAGAAGAGAAAAATAGCAGGAATTTTTTGAGTGGAAAATTCGGTATATTAGAGGATCTGGTCGATCAATTGTACATTACTGGTCATCTGATTAAAGTAATTTAGCATCAGGAGTTTGAGAACCCAATTCTTTCTCAACAATAGAAGAACCTATTTTGAAAGAAGTAAGTGTAGTATTTTCTACAATCGATGCACTAGAATACCAAACTTCGTCGCGTGATCGAAGAGTTGACTAAGAGTTCCAAACACAACACTGAATTGCAAGATATGGTGATTAGAACTTTCGTAAAATAATCTAACCTCTGTTATACACCGTGATTGGAAGACTCATAACTTCTGCTTAATTTATATTAATGCGATATGTTTCACAAACTTACTCAAGCGCACGTTTCTAAGCAAGCATTAAAAAGTTTCTAAGGAAGCGTTAAACTATTCAAAAACATGAGTAAAACATAAATCGAAATTCAGCTGCAGTCGTTTATGGATTCTAAACCCGAAACCTAGAAATTTTTTTATGTTTCTCGATTCTGTTATCCTCACATACAATGAAGCATATCTTGCAGTGCGTGTATACAATTTAGAAGAGGGCACTTAGAGGGAGGAGTATGGGCGGAGCCGCCCTTTGGCCCCGAGAAGGTGTGATGTCCTTCAAGGGATTTCTGGAGGTGCCAAGTACCCCCGCGAGGAAAATCGGCTAGGCTTTGAGAACTCCTGCCACGTCGCCGCATAGTAGCACTACATTATAGCCCACATAACGTTATGAATAGCATAAAGTCATTCGAAATCTTAGGCACTCCTTTCGGTTGTTCATAGGAGGTTTTTCTGCGAGATCCAGAATGCTTCGAAAGCTTTCCGTGCAGAAGTGTCGGTCTCGTAAACCCAAATCAAACATTGAATCGTATTCTTTATCACCATTCGCACCACTGACCCTCAAAACGGGTTGCACAGTACCACCACTGCACAATCGGAGCGGCGCTGAGGTTGGTTCCTCTTCCTCCCTATGCGAGTTTTTCTTGTGAAATTGGAGGGAGGAACGCAATTAGCCAAAGGGGGATAAGGCATTTGGTGGAATAAGCATAAGATCTGAAACAATGTCTCATTATGCAAAATACTAGCACAATGATGTTTTGACCTACCATCGTATACGCATAGTAAAAAGCATGGAAAAGGACCTAAAAGCGTAAGACTATTTTCGTGATTAGAATGCCAAATACTCCCTGTTGGCAAGTTGCAGTGACCTGAGGTTTCCAAATATTGGACAGTGAGATGATCATTTTCGAGCATGACTTTGTTTCAAAGGTAGCTAATTAATTTTTTGAGCTCAATACAAAGTACTACTACTTTGCTCACATTAAGATTCCCAATTCAGAAACCTCCAAACTATGGTTGAGAGCAAGCCGAAATCTTGAGTTCCATTTCTCGCTCTAAATATCTCAGACTAGCAAAACCAATCAGACTCGAATCGCTTTTGTGAAAATCACAATTTCAGGCTATCAAATATTTTTATTCTTGCCGCATTCTCTCGTAATTAGTAGTAGTGCAGACTTAGTATGCTACCGTAATCCAATAACTCTTCACTGTTTTTAATTTGCATGGGGAAGGAAAGATATATTTATATTTCTATTTTTTTATTTTTCCAAAACACAAGACTTTTAGAAAATTCAGCAAAAATCTGAAAAGCAGCTAAAAAAAAGAAAAAAATTGCTTCTGTTGGCAAAAGGTTTGCCCTATCTGGTGGTTATTAGAGCTCCTCCGAAAGTCTCACACAAGAATTTTGAAAACAGTGAAAGTTGGATATGGTAAAAACGAGTAGTTGTAATTTCCGGCAAATATTTCGTCATTCTCTCAACGGAACACAACGGAGTTTAGCAGCTGAAAAGAGGGAGAGATTCTGCATCGGATACATTTGGAATTGTTCGTTTATCTTCATACTAGCGTGTTTGCCGATGGATTAAAAAAACTGACAAAATTTTTGCACCAAGAGTGTCTTTATGATTACGGCCAGCGCTGTATCTATAGCATTATATTTCTCCTGAGGAGAAATGATTTTGGATGAATCCTTGGTGTGTAAAGGACAAAATTTATCAGTGGTAACTATATAAAAAACACAGGTATTTGAATGCTTTTAAAGGGGAAAGCGGTCGATTGATACCCGGACAGCCGCTTGCAGGAGGGCGTGCAGGAGTTCCTAGCACCTTTCCTCGCACCAGCGTTCGCACCCAGGAGGGTTCTAGCACCTCCGCGTCTCATTGTCAGAGGTCAAGACCCACCCATTGCTCCTCCCATTTACTGATCTCATTGTGAGGCGTGCAGGCAGCGAGAGCATAGACTCAGTATTAAGGTAATAAGAGAGAAAAAATTGAGAAAAAACGAAGAACATAGTTATCATTTCTCAAGTGAGGAGCCTTGGAAACTTCTACCACACCATCCTTTCAAATATGAGAGCGAACATTATTCTCAGAAAATAGCACAGATTTTTTCTGTATAGAAAACTCGGTCATTCCAATTACCATAGAATCTAGTTGATCAATTGTAAATTCCTGGTCATTTGATTGAAGTAACTTAGCATTAGGAGTTGAATAACTGAGTGACCAGAAGTGGTTTAGAACCCTATTACCTTCTCAACATCAACATTATCTATTAGGTTGAACCGAAAGTTCTTTCCGCCCATTTTCAAAAATCCATAACTTGTTGAATTCCCAACGAATCTGCAAGATCTAAATTTTGTATGAGAGGGGAACTCATGCTCTTTGTAAATTTACTTGAACTGTTCGTTAGTGTGTACAAATGAAGGAGATAGAAGCTCAAAACCAAAATCACTCAAAATTTGAATTTTTCGTGTAGGGTCATAAAAAATCGGAAACTTGCAAGAAAAATCGGAGCAGTCAGTATTGTAGGTTCTTTTACCTGCTCTTTCTAATGGTGCAAAGTTTGCGTCGATTGAGCGTCTCTATCAAAAGTTATGATTTTTGAGCAAGCAATACAAAAGGGCGAATTTGATTTATTTTGGCATTTTTCAGGGAATTCATAATTTTTCACAGAGACGCTCAATCTAAGCAAACTTTGCACTGTTGAAAAGAGCTTGTGAAAGAGCCTACAATACTGACTGCTCCGATTTTTGTTGCAAGTTTCCGATTTTTTATAACCCTACACAAAAAATTCAAATTTTGAGTGATTTTGGTTTTGAGCTTCTATCTCCTTCATTTGTACACATTAACGAACAGTTCAAGCACAGTTACAAAGAGCATGGGTTCCTCTCTTATACAAAATTTAGATCTTGCAGATTCGTTGAGAATTCAACAAGTTATGAATTTTTGAAAATGGGGGGAAAGAACTTTCGGTTCAACCTAATATTTTGAGAGGAGTATACAAAGTTTTTGAAAAGCTCAACCCTTTTTCCAGTAGTTAGGATATTAAACATGTATCTTTCGTACTTTCGTCTGCTATTATATAAGTATTTCAATGGGTCTTTCATTCCAACTCTAATGATCAATATCTTAACCATCAAAACCGATTTTCAAATGTATCATTTTCTACATCGATGTACTAGAATACTGAGCTTGGGTCCGTGTGTGATTGAAGAGTTGGATAAGAGTTTCAAATACGACACTAAATTTGCAAGCTATTTTCATTTGATATAATTCTTAGATGAACTTCAGAAACTGCATGTAATTGACTAACTTCCATGTTATATACTGTGATTGGAGGACCCATAACTTTTGCTGAAGCGTCATTTTGTCCGAAAACGTGAGTAAAACGTAACTCGAAATGATGGAAGTTTAGCTGCAGTATAAATTTTTTTCGATTTCGATGCTGTTATTTTCAAAAACAATACACGCCTTACAATGCGTGTACACGATTCATAATGAGGGCACCTAGACCTAGAGGGAGGAGTGATGGGCGGAGCCGTCCTTTGGCCCCGATAAGGTGTGATGTCCTCTAAGGGGTTTCTGGAGGTGCCAAGTACCCCTGCGAGGAAAAGCGGCTAGGCTTTGGGAACTCCTGCCACGCCGCCGCCGCTTGCAGCCGCACCGGGTGGTCATTAGCGAGGACGCAGGCTAACTTGCGTTGCGCTACGCAGCAGCCCGAATCTCCGGCCAATCGCTCACCACACTCTGAGGTTCGGGGAGATATAGGTCGCGAATCACAGCTCTGATGGTGCAGTCAATACAGTTAAATTAGAAATAACTGATATATCAGTGGCGTACCTAGGATTTCCATTCGTAGGGGGGGGGGGGGGAGAGGGGGCGCGACAAAAAATTTTTCCGGCGAAGGTGCGTGGCGTTAGCCACGAACTCCGAAACTTTTTTGGGATGCTTCCCAAATTTCGGTCGAAATTTCAGAATAAAAGTTGAATCTTTTCTTCTTTTCCTGATCATCTTGAGTTCCAACAATCTTTGAAATAAATTTACACTTTTCAACTGTGGTCAGATCTCTTAACTTCAGTTTTTTCCCGCTTCCCGGAAAATTGAATGTTTCGTGAAAATTCCAGATTCTCCATTCACAAAAGGAACATAACTGCAACTAATTTTTTGAATTTTTTGAAATGCCCTAATTTTCATAGTAAAGCCAATCCTCTCAAAAGAAAATGCCTACAAAGTTGAATAAAGACTAGAGGATCTGCACCAAAACGGCCTAAATTGTTTATTCTCCATACTTTTTAAGGAATTCGTGTTAAAATTTTAAGATCCGAGCTGAATTATTTTCAAACCTAGGTTTAATTTCGAGTGATTTATTTGGCCATTTCCAGATAATTTTTTTAAAAAAACCTTAGTTCTGAGATGTGCCAATATTCGATGATTTCGAAAATTTTGATAAACGTAAGTCGAATGCTCCATTCGTTTAATCTTTTTAATCATTGTTTGATATCTGTTCGATTCAGCGCAATAAGGGTTGCGTCGCATCTCTGCAATTACCACACGGTGCGGCTGCAGCGGCTGTCCGGTATGAATTGATACGGACCCCTTTTAAGGTCAGTTAGTGGAGTGTGGCACAACCTCCAAAAACGTGTGGCAGCCACAGCTTTTCTGGGGTGTGCCATACCTCATTAACTTAGCCTAAAAGGGAATTTTAACAAACAAAATAGATACAGTTCGATATCCAGGATCTCGTTATTTTTTAGAAGTATTAGAACTTCGTCTTCTTTCGTCTAGCAATAGTTGCTGAAAGACAACCATTGTAAGAGAAAAATGGTACAAATGAGATTTTTGCTGGCACCTAAGTCCATAAGTTGGTTATTTGGTGCAAGATTCACATGGGGCAAATAGGGGATAGTGCTTTGTATTAAGTAGAAAGAAAGCTAATTCACTTTGAAATATAGTTAACCATGGTTGAAAATGACTACTTCACTTGAGTTCAATATTGACCCTCAGAATGAGTTGAAACTTGGTCCACAGGGGTAAATTACGAATATGCTACTCATTATGCTTGTAAGAACCTTCTTGTCATGCCTAGGGTATGCAAACGATACTGCTGCGGGTGGGGGGGGGGGAGGGGAGGTTGAGACAGAACTTGGGGGTCGTATCCGGTGGTTGTGTGCCAGACCTTTGCTCAACCCTGGCTGAGACCTTCGTTGTGTGCAGTGTACAATCATAAGTTTAAAATGTGAAATTCTTCTCGATGTCGGCGAAGTCGGGGACTTTGCGTTTCTCTCCAACGTTGCCGAATTTGCCTAATTCGCCGAGAATTTTCACATCCTAATGTCATAACTGTACATTTGTCAGAGAAAGTGATAAAAAATTTCAAGCAACTTCTGATCAAAAGTCTTGTATTCAAAAGCATGTTCAAGCTTACTAGTTGGTTCATATTTTTTCCGGGAGGTAGATTTGAGCCACTGTGTCCATTCTGCTGATCTCCACGCACGACTTGCGAACGGCGATCATTTACAATGCTTAGAACTTTGTTGACTTCATCCTCCTCTACTTTTCCTTGATCACAATATGCAGCTTCTGCGAAATTTGATATGAACACTTATCCGAAAAGTTGTTTAGTTGAAGACTGAAGGCGCATTAGTGTGCAGCTCCAATTTTATGCATTTGAATTCTAACTAAAAATTCCTATACCTTTATTGGTTGTCAGATTTATGATTTCAGCAGAACAAAGCGAAGCATTTTGGGAACAAACTCACCTCCTACAGAAGCTAGGAGCATCGCTAGCTTAACCTAAATTATAATAATTCTGAAACATCATGAAAAATATTTTGAAACTCACAGCGATTGCAAGGTATTCCAACGAAAGCATTGCGAAAGTCGGTTGTAAATTTGTTTTGCGCCTCTTTTAAATAAATGAAGTTTTATGAAGACAATGGAGCTTGGCGATTATGAGGCTCGCTTATGCGTTCGCTCTTTTGTCTACAATATGATATATTAATTTTGTAGATTTGGAATCTCAAATGAAATCTCAAACAAGTACCAAGTATTCAAGCGACACGTGTTAATTAGTTCGAGCTCAGAAACAATGAGAGTAGGCTTTTGATTCATAATGAAAGAAACCAAACCACGCAAAGTATTGAATCGAAAACAGCATGGTCGTTTAACACAAAGTAACAGTTGTAATTTGTTCAGGCAGCCTTGAGATTGTATGATCGAAAAAATGTGCATAAAGCAACTATCACCAGTGTTCTGCTTGAGTTGTAACACAAAACTGTGCACAAAAATCACGGACAGATCGCCTAAAAAAACAAAGTCAAAAAGTTTTTTTCAAAATTGCGTGCTTCAATTGAGTGCGGTTCATAACTATATGATCTCCACCTTATATTGAGAAAGATAGTCAATATTAAACCAACTTTCCGGAGGTGCGAGTATATGGCTGGGTTCATACTGATTCCCATGTTCTGTAACTGTTCCCGCACAGTTCCAGCACAGTGCGAGAACTGTGCGGGAACAGTTCCAGAAAATGGGAATCAGTATGAACCCAGCCTACAGCATTTACGTAATACTAGTAACCCGGATGAGACTGGTGATGTATTGTAGAAGTCTTGGTTGAACTCGATTACATAACGAAGTGTTGACTTTGTCGTTTTCCCACCTACAACGAATCCTGTCGATTTGGGTGAGATTCTCTGGTAATAATCTATACCCCACCTTCTTCAAATCAGACCTCCATCAGTGATTATAATTTCTTGCTAGCTAGCAGCTAATAAATAGTAATACATTTCCACGAAGATCGGTCCCAATCGAAGTCAAGTTTTTGCAACTTCAGTTTAAGAATGGCATTGAAGAGGTACCGAGATCAAATTTTCAATGTGAGCAATAGCATACTAGCAACCTTCATCTTTTACCCGCAATCATCCTTAAAAACAATTTTACAGAGAATGGGATTTACAGCTTACAAGAAAATCATTTGACGATACAGCTTGCGAGCATCGACGACAGTCTCCCAAACGTGGACTTTGATACTGTCTGGAAAACCACTTTTTGTAAATATGACCATTCAGAGACATCATGCGTGCCTCGTGGCACGGATGCGGCATGGAACGTGATTACAAATCTACTTCCGTATCTATAATTTCCCTCTTTAAAAGCCTATGATTGCCTTATTGAAGATTGGCAAAGGCAGTGTCCAGGCAAACCTGGGCATATCGGTTTTTTGCCTGAAACTGTTGAGGGGGTCCTAGTTGAGGCATTGCCCAAACGGCAGAGCAAATCATTCAATCACGGCTGAGAAACCCATCCCCAAACATTTTGTGGCTGCGCCGTGACCGTAACACTTGGGATGGGTCCCAGCGCGATCGTAGTGTTGAAGCGAGCGAATTCGTTTTTGGATTATGGTCACGGCACAGGTGCGAGGTTTTCGAGGACGGATTTCACAGCCGTGAATGAACAGTTTGCACTGCCTCTTGGGCAGTGCCTTAGTTAGAAACCCCTCACCGATTTTCAGGCGGAAACCCATGAGCCGAGATTTGCCTGGACACTGCTTTCAATCGGTTGCTAATGAAGCAGTATCAGTATGACTATGTATATAAGAAGGTAGCACCTAGTGGCAATATATCAGCACAGTATTCACCACTGTTCCATTTCAGTGCCACGGCGAAACCACTGGGCCCTAAACCCCCGGACGTCGTGACGTATAGCCCGGAACCTGCTGTGAGATGTGCTGACTATCGTGGAACGAGGCAGGCAAAGCGGCTATCCTTTACCATTGCCAAATGCAATCATTGCGGAGCGCCAGAATAGTCGCACTTTGTCGCTATATGTTGCAATATACCGATGCATTGCGACATGTCCTGACGAATGAAAGGGCAAAATACTTTGCCCAGCATGGGGAGCAGAGACATAGCGTGAGACTAGAGCTCGACTACGCCAATCTTGCGTTAGCTCGCACATACACATAGTTTCTTAATGCACGTCAATTGCAATCAATATTAATAGCTAATAAGCGCCTAACAGCGCGAACAGTGTGCCTTCCTTCATTTATCAGGTACTAGCTGGCTTACCCGGCTCCGCCGTATGTTCCGAATAGAAAATTCCATTTCTCAACCGATCCGAACCAAACTTGGCACACATATACTTCGGGTCCCGGCGGGTGTCACAGTCCACTTTTCGTTATCGATTGATGCCGATTTTATCGATTTTTTGCAAAATTTGAGCTAGGGGGCTGGGATTTGGCACAAGGGGGTAATCGAGCATGCTGATTACGAATACAATATTAGTCTTCGAAACCGTGCATTACCTTTATCGATTTTTTGGAAAAAATCCCCCGCTCCTACGCGTGAAATTAGGGTAGCTATACTTTATTAACAGGAAGAGTTCTCATAACATCAAACAAACGAGAACAAAATCGAAGAAAGAAATAGGGATTTGGTCATAGATCAGGATGCAGTGGCATTTTATCTTCAGCATCTTTTCAGCATACTTCATAAGATTTCGGTCGCTTCTTTTCTCTCTAAAAGATTACATGCGATAATAGTAAACTATTTTTTTGCACAAACAACTTCACTAGCCTTCCACTTTCTATTCTCTGTATCGTATCCGTAACCGCATATGTCACGTCTAAATGAAGGACCAGGTCGTAACCGTATATCCAAACTTTCACTCCTTTTTCCCTGTTGTTTCGTAACTTTTGCTTCTACCGTAAATTCCCATACGGGACAGTTGAAAATCGTGTATACTCGTGACGATTGCGGTAGTGCATAGTAACGGTAGAACAAGCAACTACAATACCGCTCATAATTCGTCAAAAAAGTCGCCGGACTGCGGCGGAGTGCGCTGGAGTGCGGCGGAGTGCGGCGGAGTGCGGCGGAGTGTGGTGAAGTGTGGCGCAGTGCGCCGGAGTGCGGCGGAGTGTGGTGAAGTGTGGCGCAGTGCGCCGGAGTGCGGCGGAGTGTGGTGAAGTGCGCCGCACTCCGCCACACTCCGCCGCACTCCGGCGACTTTTTTGACGAATTATGAGCGGTATTGTATATGAAGTGAGTGGAAGGAAATATACATATATTAGGTGTATAATAACATCAAAAAGTGGGCGGGGCTTACAGTTCACAGCTAAACAGCGATAAAATCGATATTTTGAGCTTAGAGAACTATCAAACCTCAAAAATCGATAAAATCGACATTCTGGAGGTTGCAAAATCCCGAAAATTGTCAAAAATCGATAAAATCGACATTTTGAAGGTTGCGAAATCCCGAAAATTGACAAAAATCGATATCTCAAAAATCGGCAAAATTGATAAAATCGACATTTTGAAGGTTGCAAAACCCCAAAAATCAGCACAAATCGATAAAATCGATATTCTGGAGGTTTCGAAATTTCGGAAATCGGTAAAATTATTGAAAAACTAAGCGAAAAATTCGAAAAACTCCATAATAAGCTCATTTCCAGTGCTTTTATACAGCTGAAACTTTTCCAAGCAAGCTCCGCCCACTTTATACCCCACGCCACGATCGAAATTGAAGAAAATAAGAAAAATTAAGAAAAAATAAGCGAAAATCGCGTTAAGCAGTGGTATCAACGCAGAGTACTAGATGGCCGCGGGAAAACTGTACACGAAGCCGTAATAAAGAGAGGGGGAAAAATAAGGGGGGAGAGAGAAAGGGGGGGAAAGAGGAAAAATCGCGTGTCTAAGTTTTTTTTTTTCAAGTCCGGGAAGGTTTATAGATGGGCTCCCACAGCCAGAGCCCCTACATTTTCTCCGAATTATATGTGGTGTCCCCCTTGAATACAAACTGAAGAATGGCTATCCCAGCTCGTCATCCCTACTCTCGGCGGAGATAAAATTCAAAATATGCACTATCGCCTTTATATAGCGCCTCTTACGCTGGAGCTGTGAGCACGAGCTACCCCTAGAAAAATAGAGCTACCAAAACTACATGTCAATGGCCACATGAGATTACCCCAGCCCTGCAACTCTTAGAGATATAAGGCGCCGAAATCGCCCTTATTGACAGATTTCCCAAGTTCGGCTGTCAATTAGGCACTTTTAATGGAAATTTGTTATTCTACGACCTTCTCTCTAAAAATCATATTTTCAGAGATCAGCAGTGGTATCAACGCAGAGTACTAGCTGTAATATTCGCAGAGTTATTAGCCCCCCCAACATGCATGCTCAGGCCGTAAAATCGGCTCTCCCAAAGTTGCTCCGTAATTCCCCCAAAAATCATGTTAGACACCTCTCTTATACCTATACACACCATATTTTTTCCAGCTTCTTAGAAGCAATACACACTGATATAGCGCGCTCTTGGCCTCTCGCTCCTCACTCTTGGCCTCGGCGTAAGATTTGGTTAAAATATTGAAGTTCTCGGATTTGACTGTATACTTCACTCATAGTGGTTTTTGGTCCCGATCTTTACGAAAATCCTATTTATTTTGCACTAGAGAGTCTTACAGTAAGCTAAAGTGAGATAGAAGTAGCTGGGACCAACCAAGATCGCAACTTCGCCTGCACTTTTCCCCTACCTGTTGCGGAAATTGTCTGCAAATTTTTGTGAGTTGAAAACTTTGTGAACACCTCTATCGGACCATGCTTAGCACAGATCTTTATTTGAATTGTTCGTCAGATTATGATGTTACAAAAATCGCCTTCTCATGAATTGTCTTTCAAATTCGAAGGTCGTGTAATTTGGCAGATATTCTATCCTACAATGTGCCACCAGCAGCAAAACAATATAAGAAATGTTGTTAGCACGTCGAGTACAATACCGCTTACAGAATGTGCAAAATTTCCCTGAATATCGCAAAATTCCGAAAATTCCACAACAGACTGCTCTACATACAATACCGCTCATAATTCGTCAAAAAGTCGC